AAAACAGCCAATGAAACAGCTATAGCTGCCACTCCAATTAATCTGGAGATTAGGTTATTAATGTTTTCTTGTTTACAGCAAATGATTACAAAAACAATTCTATGGGATAATGTGAAATATACTCTGTATGAATTATTTAAATAAGAACATTTTGGGAAGATCATCGTTATACACGCTGCTTCCTCTGTAGGGTGCTAAACGTCGGGGTTGTTTTATAACTGGAACTGAATTGTCCATTTCAGGTGTTAATTCTTTGAGGTGAACAAATGACGAGGGTGTTACTTTATCATCGAAACTAAGTTACACATTAAAGTTAACATTTCACAGTGAGAAAAAAAAAATAGTGTTATTTTGTCATTGAAACTAGATTACACACTGAATTAAGTTAACATTTTGATATCAACAAATTAGCAAAGGGTCAATTTATCACTGAAAGTGAATTCCAGCTGTTAATATTTCAATGTCATCAGACAAGCAAAGTTTATTTAAAACTGGTTAGGCTGTGAACTTCTGACATGGTTCACGGATTCCCAAACAAAATAACAAAATAAACAATAATAAAAAGAAGAAGAAAAAAGAAGAAAATAACAACATTATCATCAAACACATCAGAGAAATCTGTGCTGTAGTCAATGTGCACAACCTCGACACAAGGCATGCCACAAATCTCACAAACACTTCAAACAGCTAAAAACTCAACAACCGCAACAACAAAAATTATGCACAAAAGAATTTAAAAAAAATAATAGAATGAAACAGATAAATGTGCACTATCAACCAACAGACAAGGCAGCATGTCAACAGACTAAACAAAAAGCAAAACTAAGAATGCATAAAAAAAAACCATTAACATAAAAAATAATCATAAATTTGTTTTTAAAGTGAACTAATTTGAATACGAAACAAATCAATGCTGGGAAAATAATGTCAAGAAGGAAAAAATTCAGCTAGCAGATAAAGACTCACTCTTATGACGCCTTGGAACAATGCTACCTGTTTTGACTAGCCATTAAAAAAAAAAAAAATGAGAATGTACACATTTGATATACTTTTAAACATACTAGCAATTTTATTACATATTGTTTTCTTCAACTTTGACTACACAGCTCCATATTTTAATTGTATTCTTGGCCTTAATCTACACATCATCATATTTAAATTAAAACTGTTTTTTAATAAATTTCAATCTACAATTTTGTATTTAAACTGTTTTCTTCAGCATCTGTATAATAACTTCATATTTAAATTCATTTTCTTTTATTTTGTTTCAGATTATATAACCTATAAACTTTAAAAAGTGGTGAAGTGGTCAAGCCATATGCCTCATGATCTATAGGTCATGGGTTTGTTCCACAGCTGCCCCCTTTAGTTTACGAGTGCAATTTTTACGGAGACTCCTGGGGATCGTCACAGCAGCTATTCTTAGTGGCACTCTCGGGGGACGGCTAGCCATTCTGCAGAGAGAGACTGAGCCATATGAGATAAAACCCGGTGCAACGAAGTCGATCCCCATGACTTTTAACCTCAAAACTTCTTTTGCTTCAATTTAAGCAACCTGATTCATTCACTGTCCTTTTGTGCCATTATATAAATGTTAGAGCGGGCTCGCCATTTTCGCCATTTCCTTCTATCCTGTGCAATCACTTTGATATCGTGGACGGAATCCAGTCCAACATCTTTGGCTTCTCTCATCCACGTTCCCCTCTGGCTTCTGTCATCAACGTTACCTTTGGCTTCTCTCATCAACGTTACCTTTGGCTTCTCTCATCAACGTTACCTTTGGCTTCTCTCATCAACGTTCCCCTTTGGCTTCTCTCATCAACGTTACCTTTGGCTTCTCTCATCAACGTTCCCCTTTGGCTTCTCTCATCAACGTTCCCCTTTGGCTTCTCTCATCAACGTTCCCCTTTGGCTTCTCTCATCAACGTTCCCCTTTGGCTTCTCTCATCAACATTCCTATTTTGCTTCTCTCATTAATGTTCCCCTTTGGCTTCTCTCATCAACGTTTCCTTTTGGCTTCTCTCATCGTTACCTTTGGCTTTTCTCATCAACGTTCCCCTTTGGCTTTTCTCATCAACGTTCACCTTTGGCTTCTCTCAACGTTCCCCTTTGGCTTCTCTCATCAATGTCCACCTTTGGCTTATCTCATTAACGTCCACCTTTGGCTTCTCTCATCAACGTTCCCCTTTGGCTTCTCTCATCGTTTCCCTTTGGCTTCTCTCATCAACGTTCCCCTTTGGCTTCTCTCATCAACGTTACCTTTGGCTTCTCTCATCAACGTTCCTATTTTGCTTCTCTCATCAACGTTCCCCTTTGGCTTCTCTCATCGTTTCCCTTTGGCTTCTCTCATCAACGTTCCCCTTTGGCTTTTCTCATCAACGTTCACCTTTGGCTTCTCTCAACGTTCCCCTTTGGCTTCTCTCATCAACGCCCAGCTTTGGCTTCTCTCATCAATGTTCCTCTTTGGCTTCTCTCATCAACGTTCACCTCTGGCTTCTCTCATCAATGTTCACCTCTGGCTTCTCTCATCAACGTTCACCTCTGGCTTCTCTCATCAACGTTCACCTCTGGCTTCTCTCATCAACGTTCACCTCTGGCTTCTCTCATCAACGTTTACCTCTGGCTTCTCTCATCAACGTTCACCTCTGGCTTCTCTCATTAACCTTCACCTCTGGCTTCTCTCATCAACCTTCACCTCTGGCTTCTCTCATCAACATTCACCTTTGGCTTCTCTCATCAACGTGTACCTCTGGCTTCTCTCATCAACGTTCACCTCTGGCTTCTCTCATCAACGTTCACCTCTGGCTTCTCCTGGATGTCCTCGTTTCCTCAATCACCTATTTCAGTGCTATCACCTTTTGGTGACTCTCTACTCTTCCCAGAATGTGCAGAATATAGCACCATTTTTTCTGTCTTATAACTGTTGATACTAGTGGATTCCCAGACACTTCTCCTCATTCCTCTTTAATTCCTCTTATTTTTCACAACCACATATTGAAACTCATATGGTTTTTTTTTTTTTTTTTTTGCTTCAATTTTCATAACTGCAAATTTAAACCTCATATTTATTTACCATCCATCTACACAGACTCATATTTCATTTCAAAATGTTTTCTTGATCTCTAGTCTACACAGCCTCATATTTCACTTCAAAATGTTTTCTTGATCTCTAGTCTACACAGCCTCATATTTCACTTCAAAATGTTTTCTTGATCTCTAGTCTACACAGCCTCATATTTCACTTCAAAATGTTTTCTTGATCTTAGATGCATCACTTCAAAATGTTTTCTACACAGCCTCAGCCTCATATTTCACTTTCAAAATGTTTTCTTGATCTCTAGTCTACACAGCCTCATATTTCACTTCAAAATGTTTTCTTGATCTCTAGTCTACACAGCCTTAAATGTACACACTAGATACTGTTCACAATGAAACCTAAAAGCTGCTTACACACCACTAAAGGCAACTGAGGATGAAGATCCTGCTCCTATTTCTGGTGACCAACCAAGACAAAAGGAGGGTTATATCAGTACCATCACGCTGGCTGCCTTGCTTTCCTCAGTGAAATTTCTGGTACCCATTTTTGTCAGAGGTGGTCTTCCTTAGAGCCCTCCCAGGAGACTCAACTCAGATCACTGTTGGTAATTAACAGTCAAATCATGACTTTTCCCACATACAAAACCAAATAATACCAGTCTACACACACAGAAGTGTCATTAATTTCTTTAGATAGATTTATAAAACACAAGGCATTTCATCTGATCCTTTAGACATATTATAAAATAAAAACACATTTCACTTGTTCCTTTAGAGAGATTTAAAAAAACAAACACATTTCATGTGTTTCTTCAGACATATTTATAAAACACCAGACATTTCATATGTTCCTTTAGACAGATTTATAAAACAAAACACCATTTTATTGGGGTTTTTTTTCTGGATACAGATAGAAAAGAAAAAATAGTTTCAGTCTACTATAGTGTAAAAGTTTCACTTGTCAGATGAATAAAACAAATCACCATCTGTGTGCTTGCATATAAGCTCCAGAAACCTGGAACTTTCATGTCTTGACAAATTCAAACAAGCAGAAAGATAATGTTGAAGTCATCCATCAAACATTCTTTCAACCACAACAAGTTATCCAGAGCATTATAAAACTAGTTCGAAAAATATTATGTGTATGCACAAACATACATAATAATTACTGTGAAATACATATGGAACAACTCCAAACACCGGATATAAACTGGGATCCTTCCACTCAAGACACTAATAGGGTATCTGCTTACTCACCAAAAACAAATTTGATAAAGAAACAATATATGGAAACATGTGACTACCCAAACATAAAGTACTGCTAGAAGAAACTTCTGTTTACTCTTTGAAGTGGTCTTATTTTTAGCAATTTAAACTCTAAAATCTTCTTGCATTCTTCTAAGTCGAACAGCAATTACAGAAACTTAAAGAATCAAGTTCTTGTTATTTTGGAGCCATGAACCCTATACAGTACATAAACATTCAAACAGTGAAAATAGCACTCAGCTACTTCCGAACTGGTAAAGTAGACAAGTTTGCAGTCACTTCTCTCAAAGACAATAAAAACATAAATTTTAACAATCAACAAACAATAAACTCAAAACAATCAAATGAAACAGGAGTAACTAATCAGACGCATCACGACTTTATCTACTTCAGGTTTACCAGCTATAAACTCTGGCAGGCAGTCCTGGTTGTTCGTCCACTTCTGGACTTTAGTCTTGTTCCAGAATCTGAGTTCTGCTCACACACACATTAGACAGATCTGGCTTATTTGTACGCAGACTGTTGGTTCCTCACCTCTTAGGCAGATACACTCCGACTTCAAAGAAACACCCATAATTAGTCTACTTTTATTAGGGGAGGCAGGTGGTATTTTCCCTTCCTCCAAAATGTGGCCCCAGATTCCCCATGGGAAAACATCAAGGAAATCACAGACTTAGACAGACAGGAAGGCAACATACCTGGTTGTTTGGACCTTTCCCTGAAATCCATCTCTAGTCTGGCTTGTCTATCTTCTAATTCTAGCTCTTTAGCCCTGTTCAAACAATAATGATGCATACATTTCACAAAATGTTGTCAACTCAGTAGTGTCTAGTACTGTTAAAATGTCATAATAATGTTTTGACTGCTAAATGAGTTTAAAATTTATCATGTTGGGGGGAAAGGCACCAGTCAAAAAATAAAAGTAAGTAAAGCAAAGGACCCTTTTCCATGCCTTTAGGCATATAGGGCATACAGGGCTTGACCTATATTTTATAGACCAATAAGATGGGTGATGTGGTCAGCATCACGCCGGCCGCCTCTACTTTCCGGGACTGGACCTGGTACCCACTCAAGGCTGGGTCGACCTGGGAGCCAAGGTCATTTTTTTTTTTAAAGTCCGGCTCCGCCAGGGAGCGAACCCACGACCTTCTGATCTGTGGTGAAAATAATTATTGTACCAAAATCTCAACAGCTGAAAAATAAAAGTTCTTCAGACCATCTATTTCATCTTGTAGAGGAATTTCCACCAGCCTGGTTGGCTACTATTTGTGCCTTCTTTCTTGAAGACTATCTTATGAATGGTTGGATCTTGTAGCCGAGGCTTTCTATAGAATGGGACAGCCCGTCCCATGTGAATTCTTCCATCTCATGGCAGTTCTAGTAGTTACAGAGATACTAGTTCTATCTTTCTGGGAGGTTCATGGTAACACACAGGAGATCTTTATTTTCTCAGTCAGTCAGATAACATACATAAGATAACCCTTGACCCATTAGGGTCGTGGAGGTGTATTGATGGAAGCACTAGCACTTAAAACAGGCCATCTCTCTATGTCTTACACTTGATGAAAAAGTGTATGATAACTTAGTCCTGTCCATTTCTTGAAGTTGTCATTCCAGGTTCTTTACCCTTATCTTCTTCGACTACCCCTAAAGTCAGATGCCATTTCCACAATGAAGGTTGGCAGCAACAAGAACTCCAACACTCCCTGTCCCGGCCTTGGATATACACTCTGCGAGACTGCTGTTCATCCATCCCTTGTTATTATCCTACTACTTGTATCAATCTCTACTTCTTACAACTTTTCCCGCCAGTCATTTTTTTTTACTGTTTACTGTGTGACCTATCAAATATGTTGAAAGAAGCAACTAAAGATTAGTCTGAGTGGAACCAGTTTTCTGTAAAATAAACTAGTTGCAAAATCCAACAACAACAAAAGTGAGATGTTTGAAGACCTGTGCTACACTGAAAGAGGACAGAAAGAAACAGACAACAACAAAAAAGGAAGAAAAACAATAACAAAGCATCCAAAACAAGTTTTTTTATGAGATAATTTATTACCTGACATTCAGTTCAGATTCATATCTCACTAAGGCATTCTTTTCATGGACCAGAGAGAACCACTCACTCATGAGCTGGCCCTCATCCACATCCTCAGCTTCTGTTGAATCAGAAAGAACACATGTGAGCATATCTGACTGACAAGAACCAGTAGTCTTGTTTGGCTTGACTTGATTTGCAAAAAAGAAATCGTCAAGTTCAACCAGATCCCAGAAGGGAGAGCTTTAGATATAATAGCAACTAGGTTGTTTGAGACATATAACATGGCGTAGTATTGCTGCCAGCAAACAGCTTTGAAAAGAATTCTTGAAGTGTTAATGTAATCACAGGAGATAGACCCAAATACTATCCAGATTGGCCATGAAGCTGTCTACTAACAAGCCAATGGGTGACCTGGTCGCCGATGTCGTAGTAGTCTAAATTACTTCCTGAAATATAATACAGTTAGTAGTAACAATACATAGCATGGGACTGTGATATTGTAAGAAATGTTCTAAATTCTGTTCTAGATTTTCACTTCACTGTCAATAAATTTATAACGATGTGAATGACTTCTCTTGTGAAATTAAAAAAAAAAATGTATTTTAGTATGTCTGTCTATCCCAACTATGTTTATATTACAAACTCATGTGTATAATTCCTTGTCTGTATGTAGTTTCCCCACAGAAAAACACGCATATCTATTCTCATATCTCTGCCATGCAAATTTTAGGCTTTCAAAACTGGGAAATTTTTGTATTTCTACGTTCGTTGGCGGTGGCTTCCCCCTGAAAGAAAAAAAGCAGTTACAAGGAGCGTAGCAACATAAAAATATTGCTGTTTCCATACTCCCAAACCGTCACGCAGATAGCAGAACGTTAAAAAAAATTACGCAAGTGAGCGGTGATGAGATGAGAAAAGAGGCAAAGCTTAAACCGGTCACAATAAATAAAACATGACTCCCCCGCAACACAGGTGAGGTCCAGCGACCTAAGGAGGCATGCATGGCAAGGAAAGTTACTCTAATCCTGGGCCTGGAAACGTGAACAGCACCCATTAATGATCTTCTGTGGATCCCAAATTTTCCAGAGATTCCACAAAAATGTCAAAGGTCTTATTATAATCCACACACCTAACATCAGTGGCAAATTCATGTTTTTGCTTTGCTATATTGGTATGCACATTATAACTGTCCAACCTTCAGCTATTTGCCACTGGCAATTATCATTTATGGGTCTCTATTCCCCATTTAATTTCCTACACATTTTAAGGATGTCTATTGGTTACATTCCACCTCCGAGTCCCACTTAGAAACATTCTCATTTCATATACCTGTGCTCAAGACTTGTGTACGTGGTTCAGGTGGACAGTCTGGCCTTCCCTAATGCCACTTTCCCAAAACACATGATGGATTCTACTGAACTAGTAGCAATGCAATTTATTGCATCATTTGCAAAAGATGTGACAAGAAGCCCATTGATAAAACAGGGTTATGACCAGTTGACAATTTTTCAACCATCAAGTCTAGCCACACCAATAAAAGAGTCTGTAAGTCTCTTGAGAACTACCTTATCTATCTTTTGGGCTCCCATTCGTCCAAGGGAATTAACGTCCAACACAGCCTTTTCTTGAATATTTGAATTACAGCCCTTGCCTACCATACCTCTTTCTGTTCAGTATCCATTTCCTGTATTCACATGCATCTCAGAGCTTCAAACAGCCAGACGTATTGATATTTACTGAAGAGATGACAGTTTAGTTATTTTTTGGGGGGTTCCTGTTTGTAATAGCAACATTGTCTATTCAGGTAGTACAGAAATTGTTAAAATCATGTTTTTTGTGTGTCTGTGAGAACACTGAATGATTACTTAAATATTTCTTGTGTCTGTCAGAGCAATGGTTAAAACTTACACATTCCTTGCATCCTTGAGAACACTGGTTATTACTTCAATATTTTTGCTTCTCTGAGAGCACTGGTTAATTACCTAAATATTTCTTGTCTGTGAGAGCACTGATTATTAAAATCATTCTTTTGTTTATGAGACCAATGGTTAATTACTCAAAAATATATTTTTGCCTGATTAGTCCAAATGATTTTTTACTGTGGAAATTGACTCGAAACAATTGTACACGGCATAACACACTGTCATACCTGACACATCTCCTCTTAGTGCCTTTTCCACTGCTATTCCCCTTTCTTCTAACTCTCTTTGCCTCACTTCAACCTCCTCAAGCTGCCGCTGAATCTCTTGTGCCATACGAAGACGCTTTTGTTCTGCTCTCTTATGTTGCTTCTGCTGAATTTTGCGCAATCTTCGTGCCACTCTCTCATCCAAGTCCTCTTCCTAAATATATCAGATGAAAGTTTACATGTAATTACTCATGTCATGACAATATATAAGATGAAAGTTTATATGTAATTCCTCATGTCATGACAATATATAAAATGAAAGCTTATATGTAATTACTCATGCCATCACCATTAGGAATGATGTGTCTTGTGAAATGTTAATAATTTTTTAAATCCCACCAGTATAAAGAATGAATTCAAGAAATTATGCAGCTGTTCAACTGTTGGTCACTCTTTAACCCAGAAAACAATAATGACAGCCTAAAATGTTCAAGTTACTGAACCTTAGTCACATCTTTTTACCCCAGAAACAATAACTATACATTTTTGAGTGCCAATAAGTATATTACAAGTTGTTTATCATTAAGATACAGACTCTTGTTCATCAAAAATAAAAAATAGGACTACTATTAGTTTAATGCACTTCACAAATATTTGTTATAAAATAAAATCAGATTGATGGGACTTGGGAAAATGAAAGTCTACGTAAATCATTCATGATTTTTTCAGTAATCTGCACACTCTCTCATGCTCACACATAGAAAAGTAAGTATACAAAAATTTATATATATAATTTTTTTTTTTTAAACAGTAGACTTAACCCTATTATCCTGAGATAACCGGTTGTCTGATCGCTACAAGTTTTAATGACATGACATCTTTGGACAGTGACCTCTAAACGTATACAATGTTGGTGCTGTTTGCAACTGCAGTGTGTGTAATCATGGTGGGTATGACTATACAACAAGAACAATAACAACAACAACAAAAATGTTGAGGTATTATTTAGAGTTTTTAAAAAAAAATTCACTTTTTCAACAAAAAATTTGATGTCATAATATTTTCCCACTGGCAAGACATCTACGTGGCTGCTTCTGGATAAGTCAGTTAAGTGATTCTGTGTATTCATGTTTTTTTGTTGTTGTTGTGATTTATATGAATTGTGCTGATGAAGGCTCTGAAGCTGCAACAATCACTTTCAATTTGTTGTTTGTCTGAAGCTCGCTGATCTACTTGTCGTTCAGTTTTATATCTTTCCAAAATATCTTCATAAAGATGTTACTTGCTCCGCTCAACATAGCCGTATAAAAAAAAAAAAACACACCTTGTTTTCATGTCAAAAAGAAGAAAAGCAGTTAATTCCCTGCTCTGTTCGTATTTAGTGATTACCTCATTTCACGAAAACAATTAACTTTGCTTGATTACAGTGACTAATAGTGAATTAATTTTTTTTTTAAATCAATGTTTTTAGCGATATGGTAACCATTTAACTCTCAAGATTTTTTACAAACACTGACCAAGACTTGTGTGTCTTCCTCTCTTTCTTAGGGTAGAATTTCAGAGAATTATAAATAATATAGAGGATAAAAGGGTTAGAAGCCATTAATGTTAAAATTCAAAATATTCTCTGTAGCAAATACTGGTTTAATAAAAAAAAATGGTGCCATCGCCACAATACAAGTTTGCTGCAGCGGATATGGGCATTCACTGCTGTCTGTAGGAATATTCACACTCAAGCCCTAATCTCTTCCACTGCCATTAGAGCAGTCTCTGTCTAAATCTCTCTTAGCAGGAACTGAACCCCTGTATATCAAGGACTGTGAAATACATTCCCTAACCTCTATGCAAATTACTGAAATACAAACAGATACAAATAATTGCAGATATAATGAAATACACCACAAGGGCCTATGCTGTAATAACAGAATAAGCACAGCTAACCCTTTCATGAAACTGATACACTTGCCTGCCATGGAATTCGATCAATCCTACAATTTTGTTTTCTGGTATTGATACTGTTTTATGTCAAACAGATACCTCATATAGCCAAAGTAAGTAAAACCCCAGTACCATGTGCCGGTGGTTTTAATAGGATTAGTGCTTGTACATGTTGTTTGTCACAATATTTTTGGTCCTGAATAAGCTGACAGACTGTTAACTCACTGACGTAGACTGTTAACTCACTGTGGTAGATTGTTAACTCACTGTGATAGACCGTTAACTCACTGTGGTAGATTGTCAACTCACTGTGGTAGACTGTTAACTCACTGTGGTAGACTGTTAACTCACTGTGGTAGACTGTTAACTCACTGTGATAGACCGTTAACTCACTGACGTAGGCTGTTAACTCACTGTGGTAGATTGTTAACTCACTGTGGTAGACTGTTAACTCACTGTGGTAGACTGTCAACTCACTGTGGTAGACTGTTAACTCACTGTGGTAGACTGTCAACTCACTGTGGTAGATTGTTAACTCACTGTGGTAGACTGTTAACTCACTGTGGTAGACTGTTAACTCACTGTGGTAGATTGTTAACTCACTGTGGTAGATTGTTAACTCACTGTGGTAAATTGTTAACTCACTGTGGTAGATTGTTAACTCACTGTGGTAGATTGTTAACTCACTGTGGTAGATTGTTAACTCACTGTGGTAGATTGTTAACTCACTGTGGTAGATTGTTAACTCACTGTGGTAGATTGTTAACTCACTGTGGTAGATTGTTAACTCACTGTGGTAGATTGTTAACTCACTGTGGTAGATTGTTAACTCACTGTGGTAGATTGTTAACTCACTGTGGTAGACTGTCAACTCACTGTGGTAGATTGTTAACTCACTGTGGTAGACTGTCAACTCACTGTGGTAGATTGTTAACTCACTGTGATAGACCGTTAACTCACTGTGGTAGATTGTTAACTCACTGTGATAGACCGTTAACTCACTGTGGTAGATTGTTAACTCACTGACGTAGACTGTTAACTCACTGTGGTAGACTGTCAACTCACTGTGGTAGATTGTTAACTCACTGACGTAGACTGTCAACTCACTGTGGTAGACTGTTAACTCACTGTGATAGACTGTTAACTCACTGTGGTAGACTGTTAACTCACTGTGGTAGACTGTTAACTTACTGTGGGAGACTGTCAACTCACTGTGGTAGATTGTCAACTCACTGTGGTAGATTGTTAACTCACTGTGGTAGACTGTTAACTCACTGTGGTAGACTGTTAACTCACTGTGGTAGACTGTTAACTCACTGTGGTAGACTGTTAACTCACTGTGGTAGACTGTTAACTCACTGTGGTAGACTGTTAACTCACTGTGGTAGACTGTTAACTCACTGTGGTAGACTGTCAACTCACTGTGGTAGATTGTTAACTCACTGACGTAGACTGTCAACTCACTGTGGTAGACTGTTAACTCACTGTGATAGACCGTTAACTCACTGTGGTAGACTGTTAACTCACTGACGTAGACTGTCAACTCACTGTGGGAGACTGTTAACTCACTGTGGTAGACTGTCAACTCACTGTGGGAGACTGTTAACTCACTGTGGTAGACTGTCAACTCACTGTGGTAGACTGTTAACTCACTGTGGTAGACTGTTAACTCACTGACGTAGACTGTTAACTCACTGTGATAGACTGTCAACTCACTGTGGTAGACTGTCAACTCACTGTGGTAGACTGTTAACTCACTGTGGGAGACTGTTAACTCACTGTGGTAGATTGTTAACTCACTGTGATAGACTGTCAACTCACTGTGGTAGACTGTCAACTCACTGTGGGAGACTGTTAACTCACTGTGGTAGACTGTCAACTCACTGTGGTAGACTGTTAACTCACTGACGTAGACTGTCAACTCACTGTGGTAGATTGTTAACTCACTGACGTAGACTGTCAACTCACTGTGGTAGACTGTTAACTCACTGTGATAGACCGTTAACTCACTGTGGTAGACTGTTAACTCACTGTGGTAGATTGTTAACTCACTGATGTAGACTGTTAACTCACTGTGGTAGATTGTTAACTCACTGTGATAGACCGTTAACTCACTGTGGTAGACTGTTAACTCACTGACGTAGACTATTAACTCACTGTGATAGACCGTTAACTCACTGTGGTAGACTGTTAACTCACTGACGTAGACCGTTAACTCACTGTGCTAGATTGTTAACTCACTGTGATAGACCGTTAACTCACTGTGGTAGACTGTTAACTCACTGACGTAGACTGTTAACTCACTGTGATAGACCGTTAACTCACTGTGGTAGACTGTTAACTCACTGACGTAGACCGTTAACTCACTGTGCTAGATTGTTAACTCACTGTGGTAGATTGTTAACTCACTGACGTGGACTGTCAACTCACTGTGGTAGATTGTTAACTCACTGACGTAGACTGTTAACTCACTGTGGTAGACTGTCAACTCACTGTGGTAGACTGTCAACTCACTGACGTAGACCGTTAACTCACTGTGGTAGATTGTTAACTCACTGACGTAGACCGTTAACTCACTGTGGTAGACTGTCAACTAACTGTGGTAGATTGTTAACTCACTGACGTAGACTGTTAACTCACTGTGGTAGACTGTCAACTCACTGTGATAGACCGTTAACTCACTGTGGTAGACTGTTAACTCACTGTGATAGACCGTTAACTCACTGTGGTAGACTGTTAACTCACTGTGGTAGACTGTTAACTCACTGTGGGAGACTGTTAACTCACTGACGTAGACTGTCAACTCACTGTGGTAGATTGTTAACTCACTGACGTAGACTGTTAACTCACTGTGGTAGACTTTCAACTCACTGTGGTAGATTGTTAACTCACTGACGTAGACTGTTAACTCACTGTGGTAGATTGTTAACTCACTGTGATAGACCGTTAACTCACTGTGGTAGACTGTTAACTCACTGTGGTAGACTGTTAACTCACTGTGGTAGACTGTTAACTCACTGTGGGAGACTGTTAACTTATTGTTGTGATTTAAATTCTATAACAACAAATCAGATAATTACCCTTCTTCGCTGCATGGTTGATAAAGAAATGTGACTTTCATCTGAATCTGACAGCTCATCAGCTGCAAAATACACAAAATATGGAAACATTGCTCACTTGTTTAAACACACACATTTTTTCATTCCAAGGTCAGAGCCTAAAAAACTGACACCCAGTAACTCTGAATCACTATTCCGAAGTGAATCCAACAGGAACAGATCCTAAAAACCCTGCTGTCCATATCAGTCAAGTGTCGTGGCTGTCTCTGAGTTTTCCATGTGGGTGCTGGGGACCCATTTCTGGGGGGGGGGGGGGGGGTGTGTGCCTCCCTATCAAGCATGTCAAAAAGGCGTCTGATTAGGGATTTTCCCTCCAAAGTTACACCAAGAGCCTAAGAGGTGAGGAACCAACAGTCTGCATACAAATAAGCAGCTCTGTAAAATGGATGTGCACGCACAATTCAAGTTCTGCAAAAAGACAGAAGTCTAGAAATGGACGAACAATTTTTGCAGCATTTACAGCCGCTGAACATTGAGAACGTTTCGGTGAGTCACTAGCAGAAAATGAGAAAACAGCCAGCAGAAAATTTTTCAAAGTAGTTAAAAATATGCGGAAAAGAGATGAGAGCTACAACCCCACTGAAATAATTAATGATAAGACAGGAAGGCCATTGATAGATCCACCCGAGATAGCAGAAAGATGGAGGGAATACTTCAATGAGCTCTTTAATCCTCTAGGAGATCATCAGGAAAGAACAACTAAAGAGCACAGAGCAACAGTGTTAGAACCACACATACTAATGGATGAAATAGAAAAAGTCATTAAACAGTCTCCTAAATATAAAGCACCAGGAGCTGATAGATTACCAACAGAAATAATTCAAGCAGCAGGTGAAAGCAGCATCAGATGGCTTCACAGAATATTCAATGCAGCATGGGTACAACAAACGGCCCCTATTGATTGGCAACATGCAATAGTTATACCATTGTGGAAGAACAAAGGAAGCAAACGAGAATGCGGTCAATATCGAGGCATCTCTCTTTTAAGCCATGTTGGCAATATGTATGCTAAGATAATAGAAACAAGACTGAGACCAGTGATAGAACCACAGCTGGCAGAAGAACAGATGGGATTTAGGAGAAAAAGAAGCTGCACAGATGCAATCTTCACACTAAAACAGTTAATAGAAAAGAACATTGAATACAATAAGAACTTATCTGTGGCATTCGTAGACCAGGAGAAGGCATTTGACAGAGTTAATAGACAATTATTATGGAAAGTAATGGCAAGATATGAAGTTAGCGAACACCTCATCGAAGTGTGCAAAAGTTTATACAGGGATTGTAGAAGTGTAGTTAGAATAAATCAGGGAACATCTCATCCTTTCACAGTGACATCTGGAGTAAGACAGGGGTGTGTCTTATCACCACTGCTGTTTATCACCTACATTGACAGTATATGCAAGAATGCCAAGCCCATGAATGAAGATCTTAGTAAGATCAACGAATTACTCTTTGCAGATGACCAGGCCTTGATAGCAGACACAGCCATGAAATTGCAACAACATCTAACATCCATGAATGAAGAATGTAAAACAAATAATATGAGAATCAACACTGAAAAGACAGAAGTAATGTCAAAAGGAAAAAAGAAGACAGATCTAAACATAGCAATAGAATACAAAGGCATTAAACAGGCATCTGAGTTTAAATATCTGGGAACTACATTTACAGAAGATGGGAAATTGGATAAAGAAATTAACATTAGATGCAGTAAAGCAAACCAAGTATTGGGACAGCTAGCTCCCCTCTTACAGCATAAGACAATCCCAATGAGCACAAAGAGACATCGTATTCATATTTATTCCAACTCTGTGCTACCAGTGCCAGACATGGCCACTCACAACAAACCATAAAAGAAAATTAGTAACCACGGAAATGAGATGTCTGAGAAGGGCTGTAGGAGTGAACATAAGAGATAAGATCAGGAATGAGATCATAAGAGAACAAGTCGGCACAGAACCAATTCTGGCTTACATACAAAGACAGCAAGTGAAATGGTTTGCCCACTTAGAGAGAATGCCTTGTGACACCATACCATACAAAGCATACATGGAAAGAGAAGAAGGACGACGGGGTAGACCAAGAACAAGATGGAAGGATAACATCAGAGAAACTCTACAACAGCACGATGTGCCTATGGTCGAGGCAACCAGAAGAGCTAGAAACAGAACCTTATATCTCCCTCGACACCCACAGCGGTAAAAGAGGAAGTGAAGAAGAAGAAGAAGAAGAAGAAGAACATTGAGAAAAAAGAAATCTCTAAGTTGACTCTGAGAGCCCCTTGAACTGCAGTCTTGCTGTCACAGCTTTCAGTCTGTATACAAAGCATTTAAGACAGACCTCTCTCTGGTTTTTTTAGATTTATGTCATGTTCAGTTTGTGCTTTAGATATCTAGAATGATTCTGTCTCACTACTTCTTCGTTCAACATCAGTCATGCTAAACATTGAGTCCCGTCTAGGTCACAAATAGGACTGTGCGTTTAAGGTTGCCACCGGTCCCCCATAGCTTCTCTTGCAATAAGCTCCCTTGGGCCAGATCCACAGTCTTTGCTGGGAGAGGTAAGGGCAATACTGTAGTATGTGCCAAGGGGTCTGCCTTTCTGCTCTACAATCACAGGCAGCAGATTCTTTTATGCCTATCCTGTACAGGTGTGCTCGAAGACCAAAGTGTCCAGTCCGAAGTCTAAAAATTTGATGTTTGTTCTTTCCTGTTGAGTTTGTTTATATCTGTCTCACAAAGTCCCACATATGCTTTTATGAAGTTGCCATTACAATGATACACATTTTAAACACAACTTTCTGCAGAATTCTTCCCACTTGGTGCTCTCGACTAGCTTTGTACAAATTTTAAAGTGCATCGTCTTCTTATTTTAGTCCTATTTTAAATAGGATGTGAAAACCTAGTCCCATTTACAACCACAAGTGTCTTATGGCATTAAACTGCCAAACTTTATCCTCTTCTACGTAACTTTTCCTGATGTTTCTTGCATAATTAGTTTAAAAAAATAAAAAATAATACCTCTACCAGATTTTAAACAAGCACTGGAATAATTAGCACTAATCTGTTTGCCATCTTTTAAATTAATGAATAGTGAAACAGGCAAAGCAACCTTTAAAACGATCTTCCCTTTCAACAAATAACATATGGTCATTGGTGTCGGCTTCAATTCAAATTCAGTTCAGATTATTTCTGTGAAAAGGTCTTTCACAATCATATAGCAAATACAGGCAAGTCCAGGCCAAGACCACTATCACAGGCCTGTTGTAGCAGAGTACATCTTCTTCTTCTTCTTCGCGTTCACCAGCTGTACACTCTGGCGGAAAGTTCTGGTTGCTCGTCCACTACTGAACTGCAGTCCTGCTCCAGAACCTGAGTGTTGTGTGTGCATCAGTTTTACAGATCTCATTCTCTTGAATACAGACTGTTGGTTCCTTGCCTCTCCGGCAGATGCACTCCGACTTCAAAGGAAGCTCCCCAATTAGTTGACTCTTACGACATGCTTTTGGGGAGGCAGTGGGTCTATTCTTGTTTTCCCCACAATGGGGACCCTGGAACCCACACGGGGGAGCAGAGTACAAATAGCCAAGATTTAAGTGCTGATTTTTATTCAACACTTAGGAACTGCAAAACAATACAATGATTGCTGCTGCTAAAATAAGTCTTTGTTTTCCCTTTCAATTCCATCACCCCTGCAATTATCTCAATAGAAATAAAGGAGGATAGTGGGAAACAGACAGCACCAAATACACGACTGAGAGAGACACAGACACACAAAGCTTTATTTGAGGTAACTCACCACTGGCCTTGGCAGCAACTGGGGCAGCCCTTTTCGTTGGACTAAGATTATGCAGATGTTTGGTCTGTCGATTTGATGCCTCAGAATGGAACACAGAACAGATGGCCAACTCTCTCTTACTTTCTGGAGTTTTGCTGACATCTTCATTAGAGTCAAACACTGCTTTGGAGACCCTGACTTTTTTATCACCAGCTGCAGTGAACTTTTGATGACTGTGGTGGACAGCCAAATTATCATCACCACCTTTTGCTGTGCCGTGGGAATGTGGCCTAATACGACCGTCTCCTGATCTGTTCTCTGCAGTTTTTGATGGATGAATAAAAGGCAAGAGAGATTTCTTCTTTTTCTCCTTTCTTTCCTTAGTTTTATTCGGTTCTTTTCTAGCTGTCTGTGAATTTACCTTCACTTTCTTGTCTTTACTTTTACCAGACGTAGACTTCTGGTCACATTCTGTAGCACTGGATGCAGCAGTCTGAATTCTGTTGTCATCACTTTCTGAAAGGACATCACTAAAACTGTTTGTGTCATAAGATATGCTGTGCTTACCATGTTCAGCCACAGACCTTTCAGGTGCACGTTTTGCTGGCACTGGTGCAGAACTGTTGTGAGCCTTTGGCTTTCCAGTCTTTGATATTACTCTCTCTGCAGCTTTATTTACACCCAGTGCAGTAGCATCTGTTTCATCATTATGAACTGCAGAGTGACTAGAAATCCTGTTTGAATCAGATGACTGCGATGTTGTAAATGTTGGCCTTACTTTCTTCTCAGGCGCACAGGGTGTAAAAAATTTATCCTCAGCCTCGCTCTCATCAGCAAAAGGGATATCCTCATCAAACATGTGTTGTATGACAATGCCCTCTGCTGATATCCTCTTCTTGACATCTGCCTCATGATCAGACTCCAGGTGATCAGACGAGGAGCCTAGTTTCAGTTTACCTTTGTCTATAGGCACCTTCATCTTTGGTGGGTTAAAGGTCGGAGTTAAAACTTGTGTAACAGCTCCACTGCCCTTAGCACTAATGGATGACAATTTTGTGTTGACTGTGAAAGCTGCCTGTGCTTTGCTAGGACTGATAGGAGAGGAACTCTGCTGACTAAACTGTGATGACACTGTCCTTGGATTCAACTGTTTCCCAAGTTTTGGAGATGAACACATAATAGGCTGATCTTCAGTTGTGTCTATTTGGTGGGAGATTTCAAGTGGTTGTTTTGTGGGTATATTAAGTTTAGGTAATGCCGGCATTTTGCGCCTACTTTTAGCTGTCTCTGAGTTTGCTGTTGAATTTGAGTGTTGAATAGCAGAAGATGATATGATATTCTTAGATGTATCCATACAGGATAATGAATTATCAGATGGTGATGACACTTTCCTGACTTCAGAAAGAGGTGACACTAAAGTGTTTTCTACAGGAGTAAGGAAGAAGTCACTCCCAGATGATTCACTGTCAGCAATCCTAGGCGGAGTGAGGTCACCAGAGATTACCTTGATTTTACTTGATTTCTTTTCTTTATGGTTTTTAGATTTCCGAGGCTGAGGAACAGGAGGTAGAGGTCTTGGCAAGGGTATCTTTTGTGTGACAGAAACTGAGCCTGGAACAGAACTATCAGCAGTAACTGAAACTGAACCTGGCATAGAACTATCAGCAGCAACCGAGCCTGGAATAGAACTAACAGCATCAACTGTGCCTGGGACTGAACTATCAGCAGCAACTGAGTCAAGGATAGAACTATCAGGAGCAACTGAGCCTGGAATAGAGCTATCAGCAGTAACTGTGCCTGGAATAGAATTAACAGCATCAATTTTGCTTGGGACTGAACTATTAGTAGCAATGGAGCCTGGAAAAGAACTATCAGCAGCAACTAAGTCTATGATAGAATTATCACCAACAACTGAGTCTAGGATAGAACTATCAGCAACAGCTGTGTCTAGGATAGAACTATCATCAGCAACTGTGTCCGGAATAGAACTATCAGCAGTAGCTGTGGCCTGCCTCTCTAAGCTGGCATCAGGTGTAATATACAAACTACTATTATCAACAGCAGCCTCAAAGTCATCATTTATACCATTTGGTTCATCTCTATTGCTACTACATTCAACATTCCCTTCTGGCAAAGCCTCTTCAACTGTGTTCTCACTGTCCTGCTGATTTAAAACTGGAGATATTTTCTCATCTAATTTGTCTTCCAGTTCATCAGAATAAGACTCCCCAAGAGCCAGACTCACAGTTGTCGTGTAGTCATCCAGCACCAGCTGATCAGGTTTAATGTCGTCATCCCCTGGCTTCATTTCTTCTCTGCTTAAAATTGAAGATTTGTTCTCTTCATCAAATTTCTCTTCCCCTTCATCGGAATAAGACTCCCCAAGAGCCAGACTTAAGGTTGTGGTGTAGTCATCCAGCATCAGCTGATCAGGCTTAATATCGTCATCCCCAGGTTCAACCTCAAGAACCTGACCCTTAGGCTGATCTTCCTCTGCAGAGCTCAGTGAAGACTCAGAATCACTGGGAACTGAGATGGGCCTATTCTTGTTCATTTGTATATTTTCATATTCATTTAAATCAGACACCGTTATAGCCGATGTTCTTTCAGCTGCCTTTGCCTGCTTTCTAGACCCGATGTTTCTGTCAGTGACAAATCTATCATCAAGAATACTGAAGACTAGATCATCAATGTCAGAATTATCAGAGAGATCCTGCATGGCTGCAACACTCTCCAGAGCTTTCTGCAGGGACACATCGTCCTGCTCAGTCTCTACCTTGCTATCTCCTGTCTTCACAAAATTCTGGTCGTCAGCTACAGCCTCAACATCTTGGTTAGAATTCAGATGAACTCCCACATGAGCAGAGAGATTTTCAGATTTGACATGAGGTTGAGAACTGCCTGGAGTTGTTGTTTCAATCCCTCCAGCGTCACTATCACTGTCTGAAGAGTGAGATATCTTGGCGTGACTAACATGTTTTACATAGCGCTTTGCTCTCCCCTCAGTAGCTGGATCTAAATGTCCTTCGAGGAACATCTCTTCTTTATCTTCTGATTCAGAAGATTCAGTGCCAAGTTCATCAGATGAGTCTATTGATGAGCTTCTCTGATCACTCTGCAGCAGCTCTTCCATAGCCTGACTCAAAGCAGCTTTCTCCAACAACTCATCTGTGTCAACATCTACGCCAACCAACTCACCACTTCCACTGGCTCTTGCATTTGGTTCAGTAACTCCTACACTTTCTGACTCAATCTGAATGGAAGGTTGCATTCTGCCTGCCTCTAGTTCCTCAACACTTTCAGAACCTTTAACATCTAGGCCAAGCTGCTCTTCATCCATATGTTCCAAGTGGAAATCTTCTTTCAGCTCATCCAGTGATCCAGTGGGGGACACAGTCTCATCTCTGTTCTCACCAACATCAGCAGCCTTGATGTCAAATTCCAGACTTTCTGAAACATCTGTGTCTTTAGAAGACACATCTTTCTTACTCTCAGTGGATTTCCTTCTTTCAGACATAGACTTGCTTTCTGAACAGGAGGATTTCTTTCTACTGGAGGTTGAGGATTTCTTGCCTGCATGCTTGACTTTGTCCACACTTTTGCTGCTTGCCGTGTCTGCCTCAGCTGTCTTATTAACCATCCCAAACATACTCCAGGGATCCAAACTGACAACTTTTGGAGGCTCTGAGAAGAAACTGGCTTTGCTCGCAGACAGTCGGGACACTGGGCTAATGGGAGACTTCAAGGACTTCTCTGTTTGCTCATCAGCTGACACCCCTGGGACTGGTTCGGTCTTGTCTTCATCACTGCTATCGTCTTCCTCAGATGACACATCCGTTTCATATTCTGAACCTGAAGATTTGTTAAAAGTGTCAACATTAAGGTGAGGCACAGGAACACAAAAGATAATTTTCCTATATATATGATATTTTTGCACAATACAATGATGCATGTCCTGTTAAAACAACACTAATGTTAACTAACTCTGCCTTTAAGCTTGAGCAGAGACTGAAGAAACTTTTGGAAGGCTTCTACAACACTATAAAAAGAAATTAAATAAACACACGGAGACTGACTGATGCCCACACTGACCATTATCCTCCCATAGACTCTCAAGCAGCCCAGAATAAGCTTTCCTAGGCTTGTTCATATCCCTATCTTTAAAAGCCTCCTACAACATGCTAGGTAGAGTGTAGCGTTACTACTGATTACTTCCATTCAGGGCCTATGCCACTGACACTAAAGGTTAAAGGTGAGGGCAGGGACTTCTTGCACCAAGTGTTGTCCCATTTAGCTTGATCTTGTAGAACGGCTAGCCACCTGCCGAGAGTGATGCACAAGGCACAAACTCTAGCTCTAGTGACGATTCTCTGGGGCCTCCATGAAAATTGGACGTGTGAACCGAATGCAGTCCATTAAACAAACTTATGCACGCTTCACCACAGAGATTCCCACTCCCACCTGACAAGAGAAAAGTAGTAGTTATCAAAAGATAAAATACAACAGTGCTATTCAGCTAGCAGTCCATAGGCTATATCTGGCCAGGAGAGGCCTAGTAAGTGGCCCATTGATCACTGCCAATCGTATTGTAATAATGATCTTACTACACTGAAGCTCAGGACCCATGATGCTTGCAATTTTCAACACATTAACCCCTGAGTAAACTTCATTAAACAGCCCTGCACTAGAACACAAAGAAAAGCCACAGGGGATTTAGCCTACCACAACCAAAGGATGCAACCATCTTTTTACTAGTATTAAAAGACTGCAATTTCAGTTCAACCTTTTTCCAATGTAAAAGGTGAGCATAGATCCTTTCCCACCTTAACTTCCATGAGTGGCAATCAATACCTGGATAGCTTATTAATCCAAGCTCTGACACCCATGCAAATTGTATGTTTTACTTAACATGCTAGACCAGTAGTTCTCAACCTTCATAATGGTGTGATGCTCTAATACAGTTCTGCACAAATTGGTGGTGAATTGGTGCGTGACAAACTAGATGTTTGGGGCGAGTGAACTGTGTGGAGGCACAGATCGATCATCATGGTCTGAGTAGAATGTTCCTGTTATCATGATGTTCTCTTTCATATGATATGCTCAAAGAATGCAGATTTTATCTTTTGATGCAGATGACTATTTTGTGAGTTAACTTTTTTCCAAGACATCTTCATCAAGTTTATCTGCCCATGGCACTCCTATCACTCTTCTATAGAACCACACATGTGAGCAGTGTCCATACAATTTCTTACTGTTAGGCCGACTGTCTCTAGATTTAAACGCATCATGAACATCATCATCAATCAGCATGTTCTTCACTGAACCTCATCTCATCATAATGTCTGTAAGTCTTTTTTCTGTAGCCAATTCACTGGCTCTATGAGCTTTCACAGCCAAGGCATCTTCAATGCCTTGTATCCACCTCGACCGTGTTAAACTTTCCTCCATCACGCTCTCTCCAGGCCACCATGACTTTAAAGGTATAAAAAAAACGGAATAAACACATACCATCATCCACTTCCGTTGAAGATCCCTCATCTTCACAGTTTTCTCCAAACAGCCTGCTGTACTCTGGTCCTCTAGAAGGAGTTCTGTCTTCCTCCTGGTCACCCACCAAGTCTTCCAGGGAATGGTGCCTTCTCCAGTTGCCTCGTAACTCACAGGCCTCCTCTAAAGTCAGAGGTGTGTGTGGTGACTTGAATGATTCCACAGCATTTTCCCACACTTCATCTTCTGCATCTGACCTGAAATCAACATAAAGAACGCATCTAGTTTTTATCAACAAACAACAAAACCTTTGTTTATTTCTTATGCGTACATTCTTATCTGCCAACAATAAACATAATTTGGAAAATGAGAGAATATATCATGTATGCCAGGGCTATTCAACTAAGTTTACCGAGGGGCCAACATTTTGAAAATGAGGATCGTCACGGGCCAGAGGGCTAAACCTTACAATAGAAAGATCATTATTACAATACAACTGGCTATGACCCGTGGGCCATTAGCTAGGCCTTCGCAGGCCAGATTTGGCCCATGGGCCGCCAGTTTAATAGCCCTGATGTAGGCTCACAGCTCTGTAAATAATCATTGGATATTTGGGGCTATACTATTTTATAGACCAATCAGTAATCAATGGTTAATATGACTGGCTCAACCTAGGACAATAATAAAAATCTGCCTCAAAGTGGTTTTGAACTCAAGACCATTGAGCTGGTAGTAAAAGCCTAGTCTCTGAGCTACTAAGGCTTCCTTCACAGCTCTGGGAAACATAAAAATGTTGAAAACAGAGGTGACTGCAGTCGCGCTAATACCAAAAAAGAAATCCACTGAACTGTGACTATGAAGTTTAACATGACTTTCATGTGTGGTGACTGTTGGCTAGGATACTTTGTTGCTGTCATTGTATTTTGTTGAGAAAGGCTCTGGCTTTAAACAACTAATTTTTCCTGTTAGTGTACGCTGTTTCCCCCTTTCATTAAGCTTCTTAGTCAGAGTTCAGTGAATTAATTTCTGGACAATGTAGTATGTTCACATGTTACATGATAAACACAGATGAGAGCAGCATGTCCACTTGCCACACAACAGACATATTCACTGAATACAAACTATAAAGCTCAACGAGGGGCGAATGCAAAAACAAAACATGTAGAAAACTACTGAACATTTCCAAAAATGTTTAAAAACAACAGAATGAGACTACTAGTGGTCATTATATTTTGAGTAGAAAATAAAAATGTGATGTTATAAACCAGCAAATCTGACATAAATGAATCAAGATAAAGACAAAGCCAACAAAATAAGAGCATGCCTCGATAATTTTAAAACATCCAAGTTTACAAAATGTTAAAATGGCGTTAAGACTTGAATGCATGAGGCACAAAAAGACAACAATAAAGGGAAACCAATGAACACCACCAAGTAGACACAGATGCCCTGCCTGTATACTACTTGTGCAGGCACAAACTACTTGTATTGGTTAATTAATTTAAGGTACCATTTCTATGCTAATGCCTGTGTCTTAGGGGTTATGAATCAAGTTCGGACATATCAGGTTAGGAATAGTAAATCTCCACTTAGAACTGCAGTTCTCAACAACCTACGGGTCGCGACCCTTTTGTTGGTCGAACGACCCTTTCACAAAGGTCACCTAAGACCATGGAAAAACACATATTCACTGAAGTTGTGAGGAAGCAATGAAAATAACTGTGCGGTTGGTGGTCGCCACAAACATGAGGAACTGTATTAAAGGGTCGCCACAATATGAGGAACTGTATTAAAGGGTCACCACAAACATGAGGAACTGTATTAAAGGGTCGCCACAAACATGAGGAACTGTATTAAAGGGTCGCCACAATATGAGGAACTGTATTAAAGGGTCACCACAAACATGAGGAACTGTATTAAAGGGTCGCCACAAACATGAGGAACTGTATTAAAGGGTCGCCACAATATGAGGAACTGTATTAAAGGGTCACCACAAACATGAGGAACTGTATTAAAGGGTCGCCACAAACATGAGGAACTGTATTAAAGGGTCACCACATTAGAAAGGTTGAGAACCACAGACTTAGAAAAAATACTAAATTTCCAGTAGACAGATTTCAGATCAAATACTCAAAAAAAAAACAAGAGACCAAGCAAGACAAAACATCCAATTTTATAAGAGTGCGTCACTGGAACTACATCAGCCATGCACTCAGAATGAATAAGACAAGACTTCCCCATCAAGCCCTTACTTGGACACCAGAAGGGAACAGAAAACGGGGAAGACCAAGAAGGACACTACATAGAACCATCATCAATGAAGGCTCAACCATGAGCCTAACAAACATCCAAGACCTAATGCAGATGGCAACAAACCGCCAGACATGGAGAGTTATGATCTCTGCCCTATGCGAGGCCCTAGACCCAAAAGGAAAGACTAACTAACTATACTAGGTTAAATTCAGCTGCAGGCGATATGTCAGCAGACTGCTTTGCGGTGATCGCGTCAATGGCAAAATTAGTAAATGTAAAATATCTAGTACAACACAATAATCCAACAAATGCTAGGGCTGGGTGGCAACAATGTCTAATTTTTGTGTGTTTTTTGTTTGTTCAGTAAATCAGATACTACACGTGTAAACCCACTTACAAAACAACCCAGGCAAGGAACAGGCTAGAAACAAACATGCACAAACACAACAACTGTACCAAGGCCACATCAGCAAGTGACTGCAGCAGGTTACACTAACATATTAAAATCAAAGATAATTGATGTTAATTATGAGGAATAATTTCTGGCACTTTAGTTGTGAATTAGTTCAAATTGTCAAGCTCAAATTTAGGTCAATCAGTCACACATAGACCAAAGACATGCAAAAATAGTCAGTTAATGTCCTGCAAAGCATCCACACACAAATAACAATTAATAATGAGAGCTGTGTAGTTCGCAACGTGAAAACCTGTCAGCCAGCCTGAAACAAGGTCACTTTGGAGGGACCTAAGGAACACAGTATATAAAACCGGTTTTGTTTTCACACAACAAAAGCTCAACAACTATAATCTGAAAAGTATTAATCTTAACAATAAGGAGAACTTGTCAGCTTCAAATTAAAAAGAATTTGTCAGCAGTGGAGATGTGGCTTCTGATGCGCATATGGGGATACTGTGGACAGAAACGATTGCCTGGAAATGGCTAATGAAATTAGAAAACTATATTCAAGTATAGGAAAGTAGCAATCAGTGTTCTATGGTCATGTGAGGATAAGAGAGGCGTTGGAGAAGATCGTGACGACTGGAAAGATCAACAATAGAAGATGCAGAGGCAGACCAAGGGTGCTTGACGGCCGAGCTCTGTGGACAAACATGAGCGTCTCGCCAAGCAAGGCACAAGATGGTGAGTCAGCTTCATAATACCAGCATCACAAATGGTTAAATGTGAAACTACAACCTCATTGTAATAAGAAGTAAAGATCACCAAAAAGGCATAAGATGCCATGCCTACCTATTATATAGTGCTACCCCAGCACTGCCAAGGCACCCTCACTATGATGATAGCAGTAACATGGAATTATGTTACACGCAACCATAACATATCAACCCACAATTCCCCAAGAGCCACACTCAATTAGGGCGATCCCCGTGTGCTTTAAGCATATCCAAAAAATAACAACTCTTCTTTACAAAAGTAAAATATAAAATTAAAACAATAAAACATTAAGCAGAACAGAAACTGCTAGGAACTGTTAAAAACAACCACTAAAACAATGGCAATAAGAAACATCCACACTAACATCATGCTGGGCTTCTGACAACAGTTTACATTCTTTTACCAGTTATCCAAAATTCGAGCCATTTCTGACTCAGAAAGGTAATCAAATTCACTGTGGACAAAGAAGTAGTGAAAACACAAAACCTGTAACAAGAATAATACTGCTCACCAACAACATGTCAAGTAAAGTAAAGCCAGTGGCGCATCAAACATATGACACTGGACTCATATGTTTATAGACCAATCAACATTTAATAGTTGATGTATGGACAATATGTTAAACACAACTTAATGTATTTCAATAACAAATTGTTATGTTAAGAGGTCAAGTAGTCATATGGCAGATACTGTCATGAGATGGGAAGTGTTAGGCCCTCCCATACCATGTGAGGTGATCAGTTTCCTTTCCTGATATCTTTCCTTCCAAGACAGTTCTTTGCAAATTTGCAAAATTATAGGGTCGGGTGAACTATAAATCTGTACTGTTGTGCAATGAGGAAACCTGCCATTCCTGGTGATTGAACTGGGACCACTGTCCTGGTAAGCAGCGTACTAACGACTAGACAACCTTTGATTCATGTTTTTATTAACACTTCTGAACTAATAATAAATTTGGCCAGCACAAAGCATAACAATAAGAAATCCTATTCAACATAAGATAGCAGCTCTAGTTACTGTTGATTTATTTGTAATATATTGTTATCATTTTACCTCTGTGTGATGTGAGTGGGGCACGCCTCTCTAATACTTAGACTAAACTGTATAGCTGCAACATGAAGGTCTATGTAATTAATTCTGGTCAAATCTGAATGATGATCTACACTGTGAATTTTATATTTCCAGACCTATCCCAAAAGCTTTTTTTTTTAACCTTTTAAAATAAAATCACAATCTGATAGGTGACAACCACCACAAAGTACTGACCGTATTAATTTGGTATGGGTATCCATTCCTCTCTACGGTTTATATTTGAAGGGGAAATCACCCAATGAAGTACTGTCTTTGCACGGCCCAACCACGACTGGCATCGTTTAAATCTGTTGGCTTTTCATGTATTCGGTTCACTGTTCAGTGGGTTTGTCAAGACCTCTGTGAATTTGCCTGGCACATTTCACGCCTGCTGCTTATATTTGGAGGATCTAGAAGATATTTCACTGCTCTACATGATGTGTCTTTGGTGGGGCCAAGAATGATGTACATTGCTTAATTTTGTACATTTGTAGATTTGTGTCTTGCTGAAGGTGAGGTAAAAACAATTTTGCTACAGAAATACATATTAGGGAGACATTCCAGCAAACTACGGTGCCATTAGTACTGGATCTCTGCGCTGGCTGCTGAAGATGAGGACGGAGCGCACAAGGGAATGCCTTGAGTGCTGTTATGTCAATTCTTGACTCAACCCAACTCCAGCAAACTAATCAGGCAAGTGGTGTGCGGTGCCTGATGGACAGCTGTTTATGAAATCAGATCTGTGGAAATCAGTAGTCAGACATGCAAACAAGTTAGCTCAACAATAATTATTACAACTGGATTTGATTCCATTCCTGATACTGAAAGGATTGCATATGCTAGAACAAAATGCAGGACTAGACCTTGAGCCCTGTGTGATGTATTATAGCACAATAGAATGATGATGAAGTTGCAACACCTGAATGTTGAATTGAGAATCATAGCACTCAGGACACTCTCAACGTACTTCATCCCCATCTTCAGCAGCAAGCCAAGAGTTCCAATTGTGATGGCTCCAGTAACTGTCTGATTGTACATCCATCTCGCCTTTCCCTTAAGTGTTGAGCACTGGCCATAACCGCTGGTAACTCCCCGCAGTGCCATTTTCCTCAGATCGTAAAGATCTATTTGTGCCTCTGCACTGTTCACTCGCTCCCAGAAGGCCCTCATAACATCTAGCTTGTCATCTGTCAATTCACCCCCAAGTGGTGCAGAACCGGCCAGTCTATCTGCCTGCCTGTTTCCCAACAAACATCGCAACACCTGATAATGAGTTAACAAAAAAAAGGGGAGGGAGGGGGAATTTATACATAACAATTATTCATTTAATGCAGCAAATAAATAAAAATGTGCCAAACAATGTTTACTTACTCGGCGTCAAAATCTGACAGCTCCGAATCAGAATCCTCATCATCCAGGAGAGTGTCAGATGACAGTGAGGCACGTAAATTATGCTCAAACTGCTCCTCCTCCGACTCCTCCTCCTGTCCATCAAATGAGATCTCAAACTCGATACGTTCTGGGGTATTCTCTGCCCTTTCTGATGTATCTTTGGGCAGAAGCAGAGGTGTCAGGTGTGATGCTGTGAAGGACAGGACAGTGTATACACTTTCAGTTATGTATCAAAGCTGAATAATCACATTTTATGATTGGCCCCTCTTTGATTATCCTCACAAGATCATACACTATATCCACCAGCATAGGAGTCATGGTTGGCACCTAACTGACTGATTATTCCCATATGATCATGCACTTATATCCTCAAGTATGGGAGTCATGGTTGGCACTTTACTGACTGATTATCCCCACATGATCATGCACTTATATCCACAAGTATGGGAGTCATGGTTGGCACTTTACTGACTGATTATTCCCACATGATCATGCACATCATCCAAAAGAAGGGAGTCATGGTTGGCACTACACTGATTATTCTCACTTGATCATACACCTTATCTACAAGTATGGGAGTCATGACTGGGACCTAATTGATTATCCTCACATGATCATGCACATCGTCCAAAAGAATGGGAGTCATGGTTGGCACTTCACTAACTGATTATCCTCACATGATCATGCACTATATTCAAAAGGATCTGAGTCATGGTTGGCACTTCACTGACTGATTATCCAACATGATCAAACACTATATCCACAAGTATGGGAGTCATGGCTGGCACCTGACTGATTGATTATCCTCACATTATCATGTACTATATCCACAAGTATAGGAGTCATGGTTGGATCCTCACTAACTGATTTTCCTCACATGATCATGCACTATATCCACAAATATGGAAGTCATGGTTGGCACCTAACTGATTATCCTCACATGATCCACAAGTATATATAGAGCTAGCATGACATGCTGAATAAACTTCAAGGTGTGGAAACAAGTCTTTTCCCTCAGACAAAGTTGCTCGATCGCTTCAAACTCTAGATCCCAGCTAAAGATTACCATCCTAGTTGCAAATATACAGGTATTAAGTGATCAAGCTTTTAATACATAACAGGTTTTGGCATTAGGAGATGGTGACCAGTCATCTTCTTTGTTAATTTTCCTTGACACAGAGACCTTTGGTTCCCACTGTGCCAGTGTTAGGCTAACCTCAAGTCTCGGGCCTCTAAGCCAGGACACCATGTGTTTAAAGAAAAGTAAAGGATGTCTTTCAACCCTTCAGGCGTATTGGGCATATAGTGCTAAACCTATATTTTCAGACCAATTGGCACTATGTGTGTGATATGGTCAGCAGCCTTTACTTCCCAGGAATTTAGCTGGTACACATTTTTAGAAAAAAGTCAGCCTCCATTCAGATTCAAACCTATGACCTTCGGATCTGCAGACGATCATCTAGTCACTACACCACAGCGGCTTCCTCTATGTGTTTACGCCAGAGCAATATTCAATACGACACGGACGTACTCATGATCTTCTCTGACTGCTGTGAGATTTAAAAAAAAGTGATGACAACCTTTCTGGATGAAATAAATTCAACTCAGATAGTAAGTACATTTAATTGCTTGAAATTATATGTATAGTTTTCATGCTGGCATCAGTTACAAATAAACATGAGGCATAAATTACCTGGAATTTTCTTTAGTGTCCTCTCTTTTGGTGTCTGACCCGTATCTATGTCTGGTGCGGGAGTGATAACGACATCTGGAACATTTTCCTAAATGGGACAAATAAATGAATTATTTTATTCTTTACTGTTCACCCTGAATTTATTCTGCACCAAGGAACTCTCCATGCATCTATCTGTCACTCTCAGATTAATATCAGTAAAAGTAAATGATACTTTCATGTCAGTGGCACACGAGGTATATGATGCTAAGCATATTTTTTATACACCAACCGGCACCCAATAGATGAGGTGGTAAGCAACACACCAACCACTTTTACTTTGAAGGACATGAGATTAAATGCCCACTGGATTACAAAGTCAACAACATGTGATGATTTCTTGGGCATGCTCAGAACAAGAGCAACTATGACAACTCTGTAGCTACAGAAAACTTGAACAACAAGCCTTAGGCTGAGTCATAGACAAGCCTGCTGGGGATCACTTTGCTGAGTGAAGTCCTTCAACACACTCTCCGGAAAGGCTAATCCAGACAACAACTGATAGCAAAAAAGGCTGGATTCGTTGGCTGAAATACCCAAGTGGGTTCTGCGGCCGCATTGGTGAGAGAAAAAAAAATAGATCCACCCCTTTCCCCAAAACAGGTGAGCCGTAAAAGGCAACTATTTAGGGGTGTTTTCTTCAAAGTCAGAGTGCATTTGCCTGAGAGGCTAGTAACCAACAGTTTGCACACAAATTAGTCTCACATCCATATGTTCAGCTTTCCACTCATCACAGACTCACCCTCCAGTGATCAGCAGCCCGCAGGTCCGGGACTTTGATGACCACATAAACAGGTACATTTTCCTTCAGCAAGTCAGACACTTTTAACATTCAATAGATTGGACAATTTATGGCCTGGCATATTTCGCTGTATCTGTCAGGTGCATACTACAGTAACAATTACATAAATGAAGCAAAAAAGTGAATCCTTTACAAGTGAAGTACAAATTCAAAAAATACTCAAAAGCAACTGTCTGTTTTACCAGGGCTACTGCTCTAGTGTGCGGTAATAGTCTTGTGTGGGGATCGATAAATCCAGCCCAGACCCAGCTGGCGCCAATGGTGAGGTTCAGAATAACTCCTTATACACATCCCAGCGGCCTTAACTTGTTCTCACGCCTGTGATCGAAATCGCTGTGCCCCATCCACTACATGATATATGAGAATACTTAAGAAAATATAATCTGCCCCATTTTCCAAAACCTCATGTAGATGTGTGACGATCTCCCTTAACCTCATGTAGATGTGTGATCACTATAAAGAGTTAGAGTTAATAAGAAAAGGAATCTTTTACTCCAAGGGTGCATCAGGTATGTGATGCTAGGCTCATTTTGTTTAAGTAGACCAAGCAAGCACTAGGTGGGTGATGAGGTCAACATCATGCCGGCCACATTTACTTCCCAGGAGACTATCTGGTACCCATTTTAGGCTGGAGTAAAGGTTAGTTATGATATAATCAACTCAATTTGGATTCATATCAAAGACATTCAGGACAGAAGACAAGCATCTAACCCTTATGCTACAACAACTCCCTTAATAGAATATTAAATAATATATACCTGCTTTAAAAACACATTTTAAAAGTGTATGTTAGACAAATGCTGATAATGAACAAAACAGACGCTCATATTTACTTCATCCAAAACCCGTTTTCTCTGTGGACGTGTCCTCAGCTCAGGTATAGCATGCCTATAGCAAAAGAACTTCACTGTTTGGGAAAAAAAAAAAACACTGTCAAAAATAACAGAAACTAAACAATCCTCTTATAAGCCACAAAATTAAACAAGGCCAAAATACACATTAAAAAATTACTATGTCCTCATAGCAAATTTTTAAACAATAAAAAAAAAGACTGGCTCTGTGAAATTTTTGATTTAAAAAGAAAAAAGACAAGAATTAATAAAAAGATATTATTCATGCTAATTACTTCTCAAAATTATCAAATTAATTCTCATGTAGCTGTCAGCTGCATCAGAGCTCACTGTAGCAGTAATGTGTTAGGAGCAGCAAGCAGAAACTGCTGTAGCTGAGCTACTGACGACTTCTCTAGATAGTAATAACAAGGAGGGATTGATGTTTCAATTTGGCAGTTGGAGGCAATGCTTTTTTCACCTGACTAATGCGTAGTGAGAAAGGAACTTATTTTACAGCTATGCTGAAAACAAGAATACAACAATATTTTTGGGACAAATGATAAGAAGAAGAAGATAAAACTGGTCAGCATGCAATGACAAGATTCCAACTACTATATTTCTCCTACTCCAATGATCTTACCTGGTTTTGTATCTCTATCACAAGAATAATTAGTCAGCCGCAGGCCCACACCACAGTGATCACATCTTAGACAGCTGCGATGAAAGAACTCTCCCTCTGCACTCATACGTTCCATTATATACACTCTCTTGTGGCAGAAAGAGCAGAACTCACTGGCAGAAGATGCTGCAAGTAATGATGGTTGACCTCGCTGAGAGAAAGAAGTGGACATAATTTGAAACTGGGACACATTTCTACTCACTCTAAAACACGAGGGGTAAAATGGATATAAAGAAAAGGGAAAGGAAAGTACACAAAGGGCAATATAACAGAGGCAGAGAAAAAAAGGAGCTACTAGTGTTGAGAGAGAAAAACAGCACTTTGGCAAACTCCTCAAGTGATCAGTCTTCCTAAGCAGATTTCAGTGTAACTGGGTGTTGTGTAAGTGCTGGTGCCTCAAAATTTGTTTCATCCTTCCATGCATTCTCTAATACTGGTCCTCAGTTCCATTATGAACCATGGCAGTTAGTACTGTTAGCTCACCACTGGCCTGTCATCTTAGAACCGTCAATTATGGAGACACTACATTTGAAGAGCTTTCCCAGGTTATAATCCGAGGGTTTCTCTGTAAAAGAAATTAGCAACAGGACACAAATGGCTGTATACCGCACTACCTATGTGCCAGTCCTGACCTATGGGTGTGCATCATGAGTTATGGCAACAGCTCACATTTTAGACCTAAAAAATGAGGTATCTGAGAACAGCAGTACGACAAGAATGGATAAAGTTCACAACCAGAAAATACTTTGCAGTCTTGAAACCCACGCCTTACAAACTTGAGTAGATCGGTCCCAGTTACAATGGTGGACCCCAAAATCGTTCAGAATGTTTAACTGTCCAGTAAAACGAAACCGTAAACGATTCTGGGGTTGTTTCTGCAACCTCCTGTGGAGGACACAGACCTAACATATTTGAAGAAGGTATGAGGATTTCAAAGTCACAATGACTTTTCCATTGTCAGGGCCTCTTGTATGGTCGAGGCAGTAGTTACATGAAGTTCTTGCAGATTTTGAGTGGACAGAAAGCATAAGAACAGATGAAGACCAAATAGAATACTATAGAAGCCATCTGCAATAAAAAGCCAACTGTTAATAAAAGCATGAAAATTTCATCATTGTCAATCAAATGGGTATTATGTGTGAAATAGCTTCCCAAGATGCTTTTTATCCTTATTTGAAAATTACTCCTGCTTTTCGTCCTAAACTGAAAAATAATAAGCAAATGTGATATTAGAAACTGTTAACTTAACAACTAAACATACCAATTTCTTTATAGGCTCGGGAGGAGGCCTGCTCTCATTGCCTTTGAACTTGGCAACTAACAGATCAGCCATGGCCGTGACACTGACTGCGCCAGAGCGTTCTTCCATCTTGTTCACCTTGATATCAGTTTTGCGATCCAGCTGCAGTCTATTGGCTATCTCACCCATTGGCAACTTACTGTAGCCAACAAGTTCCACTTCTGATTTCTAAACATTGTGAGGGGAAAAACAGGCAACTGCTGATGAATACAATACATACATAGCTGTGAAAAAACATGAAGGAAAACATTATTCACTACCAACCAGACTGGAAGCTGCAGCAGCACAGCCTGACAGTCCTACAGCAGCACAGCATGACAGTCCTACAGCAGCACAGCATGACAGTCCTACAGCAGTACAGCCTGATAGTCCTACAGCAGCACAGCCTGATAGTCCTACAGCAGAACAGCATGACAGTCCTACAGCAGCACAGCCTGATAGTCCTACAGCAGCACAGCATGACAGTCCTACAGCAGCACAGCCTGACAGTCCTACAGCAGCACAGCCTGACAGTCCTACAGCAGCACAGCATGACAGTCCTACAGCAGCACAGCATGACAGTCCTACAGCAGCACAGCCTGACAGTCCTACAGCAGCACAGCCTGACAGTCCTACAGCAGCACAGCCTGATAGTCCTACAGCAGCACAGCATGACAGTCCTACAGCAGCACAGCCTGACAGTCCTACAGCAGCACAGCCTGATAGTCCTACAGCAGCACAGCATGACAGTCCTACAGCAGCACAGCATGACAGTCCTACAGCAGCACAGCCTGATAGTCCTACAGCAGCACAGCATGACAGTCCTACAGCAGCACAGCCTGACAGTCCTACAGCAGCACAGCCCTGCAGCAGCACAGCCTGACAGTCCTACAGCAGCACAGCCTGACAGTCCTACAGCAGCACAGCCTGACAGTCCTACAGCAGCACAGCCTGACAGTCCTACAGCAGCACAGCCTGACAGTCCTACAGCAGCACAGCCTGACAGTCCTACAGCAGCACAGCCTGACAGTCCTACAGCAGCACAGCCTGACAGTCCTACAGCAGCAGAGCCTGACAGTCCTACAGCAGCACAGCATGACAGTCCTACAGCAGCACAGCCTGACAGTCCTACAGCAGCACAGCCTGACAGTCCTACAGCAGCACAGCCTGACAGTCCTACAGCAGCACAGCCTGACAGTCCTACAGCAGCACAGCCTGACAGTCCTACAGCAGCACACAGCCTGACAGTCCTACAGCAGCACAGCCTGACAGTCCTACAGCAGCACAGCCTGACAGTCCTACAGCAGCACAGCCTGACAGTCCTACAGCAGCACAGCCTGATAGTCCTACAGCAGCACAGCATGACAGTCCTACAGCAGCACAGCCCTACAGCAGCACAGCCTGACAGTCCTACAGCAGCACAGCCTGACAGTCCTACAGCAGCACAGCCTGACAGTCCTACAGCAGCACAGCCTGACAGTCCTACAGCAGCACAGCCTGATAGTCCTACAGCAGCACAGCCTGACAGTCCTACAGCAGCACAGCATGACAGTCCTACAGCAGCACAGCCTGATAGTCCTACAGCAGCACAGCATGACAGTCCTACAGCAGCACAGCCTGACAGTCCTACAGCAGCACAGCCTGACAGTCCTACAGCAGCACAGCCTGATAGTCCTACAGCAGCACAGCATGACAGCCCTGCAGCAGCACAGCCTGACAGTCCTACAGCAGTACAGCCTGACAGTCCTACAGCAGCACAGCATGACAGTCCTACAGCAGCACAGCCTGATAGTCCTACAGCAGTACAGCCTGACAGTCCTACAGCAGCACAGCCTGATAGTCCTACAGCAGCACAGCATGACAGTCCTACAGCAGCACAGCCTGACAGTCCTACAGCAGTACAGCCTGACAGTCCTACAGCAGCACAGCATGACAGTCCTACAGCAGCACAGCATGACAGTCCTATAGCAGCACAGCATGACAGTCCTTCAGCAGCACAGCATGACAGCCCTGCAGCAGCACAGCCTGACAGCCCTGCAGCAGTACAGCCTGACAGCCCTGCAGCAGTACAGCCTGACAGTCCTACATCAGTACAGCCTGACAGCCCTACAACAGTACAGCCTGACAGCCCTACAGCAGTACAGCCCTGCAGCAGTACAGCCTGACAGCCCTACAGCAGTACAGCCTGACAGCCCTGCAGCAGTACAGCCTGACAGTCCTACAGCAGTACAGCCTGACAGCCCTACAGCAGTACAGCCTGACAGTCCTGCAGCAGTACAGCCTGACAGCCCTGCAGTCTTATGTCCAAACTCCTACCAAGCCAGGATTCAGATGATCTAGCCTAAAGATCATCACTATGATCATCATGGCGTGCCCTTATATGCTACAAAGAGATTGCAGTCTACGCCTCTGATTTTTAAACTCTGCTCTATCCTGTGCAATCATTACCATATATCATGAATGGAACTCAATATAGTACCTTTGGCCTCTCTTATAAACATTCTTCTTCTTCTTGGGGGATCACTGGCTGTGGAAATTTCTGGTTGTTCATCCACTTCTGGACTGTAGCCTTGTTCCAAAACTGTTGTGTGCACATCAGTTTTACAGATATAGCTTATGTGTATGCTGACTATTCTTTGCATCTCAGTCAGATGCGCTCTTGACTTTGGAAGGAAAATGTCATCAACAATGTTTTAAGGTTTCTCTCAGATGTTCTCATTTCCTCAAGCTATTTGTTTCCTATTTCAAGGCATGTTTCATGATTTTCTACTTGCTTCCTCTAAGGATGAGCCAATATAGCCCCAATCTGTTCATTTTATAACTGCTGATACAAGTGGCTGTCCATTCATTTCTTCACCATTCTCCAATTCATATTTTTTTGTTTTAATGTTCATCAGTTGCCTTAGCCTAAAACTGGGTACCAAGAAATATTCTAGCAAGCAGAGATGGTCAATGTGATATTGACATCACCCACACAATGTCCATTTTTCAATACAAATACAGGGCTAGAACAATATACTCACTAACCCCGTAGTATGGTAAAAGTAATTAACTACTTTGCCTAAAAAAAAGTGACAGAATAACTTCATTAACATTATTAAACAAAGAGATAAAAATGCCAGTGCACCATACTGGCCATCTCACAATAGAAAATTTTAACAAAGGGACAATCAACTTTGGCCTCCAGCATGAGAAGCCTTGCAAAAAAAAAAAAGAAAAAGGGTATAAACTTATGGGAATTTGCTGGGGGAAAACCCTTAACATAAAACAACCATATTATATAGGCCATAACAGGTTTAACAAAAATGTTTCAAATTGTTTTGTTTTTTAAATATATAAAGATATATAAAGGGGTAGTCATTAAACACAGAGTGAAGCATTAATTGGAATACATTACCTGGGGTCTTTGAAAAAAAAAATATATATATATATATTAGGTAACTCATGCTGTGACCTATATCACTGAGGCTTATGGCAAAGTTTAACATCAACCTGACTTTCAAAACGACAATTCACTATATCTAGTTACCATATTTATATCCATGCCTATTAAACACTGTGCAAACATGACCAATGGAATTAAGCTTCGCTTTTCAAGAACAGGTCAATATCTGCATTTAGAGGACTGTGTCACAACTAGAAGTGATTAGATTTAGTCTCCTCAGCGCAACAGGGTGAAGATAACAATCTTCAGACATTGCAAGAGTGTCAAAGTCACAGCAGTTCCCCATGATGCTGGCTGACAATCAGCAGTCACATAGTCCTTATCCTAACACCTGGTGAGAGGAGATGAGTGCTGCTTGCCTACTGTAGTGGAACTAAAACAACACTAGTCCCCAGTCTCTGTGATGTACAAAAGTAAAACAAACAGGTTTTTAAAGGCAAAAAAGTTCCACTAGCTTCCTGCTGAGAGAACTGTACAAAGCACGAACTCCTTTGCTCCAGTGACAACCCACAAGGATTTATAAAATAACTACATCATAAGCCATTTGAAGATGTCTAAGAATAAACAAATCAATCAATGTGGTTCAATCAGCAACACATTTTTGTCCCAAAACAGAGGTGTCTTACTGAGGAAACCTGATTGATAAGAGCGTAATCAGAAAGTCCTTTTAATGGAACTTAGGGGGTTAATGAGAAAAAAAGGGAAATCCAAGTACATGGAGAAAATAAGAAAATAAAAACAAAGAAATGAATTTTACCTGTTCTCTCTCTTTTAATTTTTTTGAGCCCAAAATACTTCTTTCATTCTCATCCTCCTCTTTTCTCTGATAAAAGAGAGGGAACAAAAAACAGTTGCATTCGGATTTGAAATATAATAGCTAGCTGGCATGTTAGGTGACATATAAATAAACAAAGCTAGGACACACACAGAAACAGTTTCATAGGTATGTCCTGAGTAAGCAGATTCTGTGAGACAATCAATGTGCCTGATTATTAACTATTACATAATGCTCAAGTGATTATATTATGCAAACTATGGTACTTTCATGTAAAACTTACATGTATATGTGTAGTTAAATTTGTAGGTTGTGAATTTTAGTGCTTTCATGCAACAAATACACGTATACAAGGTTAAATCTGTAAGTTATCAAATCCACTAACTCTCTGTATACACCACATACGTGAATATGGAAACTGGGATATGAAAAGAGTTTTTGAAAATAAGATAGAGGAAGACAACACAACAAGTTCTTGACAGCCCTTGGCCATAGCCTGGAAGGATACAGCACTGTTACATGCTGTTGAAGACTGCAGGTTGCGGAGAGACATGATCATCTATGCCAGATGATAAGGCACTTGATGATTATGATAACTTGTATATACATGGTTAAACATGTCCTCTAACTAAGACACACATAAGAAAAGAAAAAAAATACAAACATTAAATTTCAATAAATCATGAGGTCAGGAAAAGATTATGAGGATGGACAGAACATTCAATGAAAAACCTGAAAAAAATATAACTAGAATGTCCTTGCAATAGAATTCACAGAGCCAAAGAAATGAAGGGAGAAAAACAAACTGAAAACAAAACAGAGACAGGTGAAAAATGGGGAGGATTTGGGTGAGCTGCAAAAGATAAAGGATAGGATAACTAGGGATTAGTTGGTTGAAGTCTAGGCACCTTTGGGGGATAACAGGAAGAAAAACAGATAAATTCATACAAGTTCCTATCTACTATAGATAATACAATCAACAGCACATCACAACAGACACTCTCAGTAGCACCAGGGTGGCCAGAGATGTGTGTACACAGGTTAACCAGAATCACACAATATATAAATATCTTGGGTGATGGGTAGATTTCATTGTATTACATTTGGATCAGTGGCCACATCAAGGTTGTCAATAAAATGGTTTGGCCACATGGATACCATACCAAACAATGCATATACCAAATGACAGGCATAGCTCTTGAGGTCATCATTATGATGTAGAAGGTGCTTTGCAGAACATCAGTCCCATCCCGATTTGCCTGAGAGAAACACGATCTCTCCCACCTTGTGCACTTTTATACTCAAGGAATCACTTATATCCGGTGCCTATCTGCGTGACTGACTGCCCTTGTTCCTCCTTCCTGATACCATGCCCTCTGCGATCGTTTTTTCCCAATCCTCCAAGGCACTTGATGTGACCAAAATATTTTACCTTCTGAAACAAGATGCTGTTTACTAGCCAATCCTCCTTGATATTTTACGATGTCAGTGTTTCTTTTCTTCTTTGTCCATGGTATTCTGAGAATTTTCTATAGCATTTCAGCTCAAAAGCACAAATTTTCTTTCTCAAGGACTGTAAAATAGTCTACGACCATGACTCACATCCGTATGTTGCTACAGTTACAGGACAGGCTCTCAAAATTTAAACTTTAATTTCCTTACTGTTGCTTAAACACAAGCTTTTAATGCTGTTTTAACAGGCCCTGAGGTAGACAAAGAAACAGTGGAAGACATTAGAGGAACTCTTTAACGTATCAAGTGCCTACAGTCGAAGCTGCCAGAAAATTAAAAATCAAAACTCTTCAGTCTCCTCTGATGCCCACAGTGGTAAAAGAGGAAGCAAAGAAGAAAGAGTGGCCATGTTCTTTAAGATTTTCAAAAGGTAAGGAATATTCCATTCATTACCTCCTATTTTTCACACTTATCTGAGAAAAAGGTAAGCATCTGGTTTTATACCCAGTAAATGAGAAGGGGGGGGGGGATATACACAATAGAAAAGCTGTATAATAACTTTTTTCATTCTCTTAAATTCACTACACAATTTACCTTTTTTGACTTTCCAAGCTTAGCAGAGAGCTTCTGAAACAATGGCACATGTTTTCTTGGAGAATGTGGTGACTTTGGCTGGTTGGCATCTTTTGCTGTGCTCTTGCGCTTAGCCTTGACTGGGAGAGGCATAGCTGCAATAATCATGAATATAGTTTTTATTTTGCCTGGGCTTTTATGTTGTTGTTGTTTACAGTGTTTATAAAGATCACGGAGAAGCTGACAAAGCATCAGTATTCCTATTTTTTTTTCAGTAGTCCTGTTTTTATAAGATATAAAGTTTGAAGTAAAAAGCATTGGTTCACTGCACTGGGTTTGATCCCATATGGCTCAATTTCTTTCTGCAGAACACAACAGCAGCCTGCCAAAAACATCACACCAAGCACTAACACTGTTGCTCCAGCAGCTAGCTACAGAGATTCTCAGTAAAAACTGCATTTGTGAAGCAAATAATGCAGTCTGTAAAACAAACCCACAATCTTCCGATAGCTGGACCAATCACCATGAAGAACTACTTTATTGTGTAAAACAACTGTGTTATAACAAAACACACACAAAAAAGCCGGTCAATTTTGTGATATATATGTCTCTGCATTAACATAAAATATTAACTCTTAGAGGTAAAGGTTTCATAATTACAGGTGTTAAGTGATAGCATATGATACATCCCATTTCATAGTACTTTGTCATCTTGCCTGAAACCTTAGTCAGTAAAAATCCCAAACATAAAATGACCCTTTTCAAAATTATGTTAAAAAGGAACAGATCATTACAATTCTCTTAAATTCCCTAAGAAATTGGAGGAAGAAAGGAAACAGCTGATGACATTTGGAGTCTTGGTCAGATTTTATTAAAACTTCAAGCGGTTAATACCTATGATCAGTGAGCATACAAGCAATTTTGTTGTTGTCAACAGGAAGGGAAGTAAAAGGTCCTTTTCCACTCCTTTAGGCGTATAGTGCTAGCGATCTAGATTGTAGACCGAACGGTTACTTGGTGAGTGATGTGGTCAACATCACATCAGCCACCTTTACTTCTTAGGACTATACCTGCTCCCCACTCAAGGCTGGGCCCACCTGGCAGCCAAGGTCATTTCTGAAAGTGTCTAGCTTCGTCAGGACCCGAACCCACTCCTGTATGCTGCATCTGATGTATACATGAAACCCATTGAAAACTATGCCTCGCATACAACACAGTGTCTAGTTGATGATTTAAGCTTACTTACTATACCAGGTGTAACACAGTTCAGCACAACATAACAATCTGCTCACAGATACATACTTGTATTTTACAGAACGTTCGTGTCTACCAACACGACGACACATAGGATGCAATAATGTATCTACCAACACGACGACACATAGGATGCAAAAATGTATCTACCAACACGACGACACATAGGATGCAATAATGTGTCTACCAACACGACGACACATAGGATGCAATAATGTGTCTACCAACACGACGACACATAGGATGCAATAATGTATCTACCAACACGACGACACATAGGATGCAATAATGTGTCTACCAACACGACGACACATAGGATGCAATAATGTATCTACCAACACGACGACACATAGGATGCAATAATGTGTCTACCAACGCGACGACACATAGGATGCAATAATGTATCACACAAGATGCCCTCTAAAGCATAATGATGGCATTCAAGAGTTTACTCCCCCATACACTAAGCATCCGCATAATAATTACCAGCCACGTCTGAAACTCAGCATAAACCTTGCTGCCGTTCCTGGATTTAGGAGCTGTCACAGCCTCTGTGCCTACAGTCCCGGGCTAACCCTCACACCAGGGCTAGCAGTAAAAATTGACACTTTCCATTGCTCCTACACTAAGCAGTTCATGTACAAATAATAGGTTATAGTCCCCGGGCTAACCCTCACACCAGGGCTAGCAGTTACACAGGCACCACCACCATCTTGAACTTACCAGAGACTTCGACTAACTCCTAATTTTCTGCAATACTCATATTCTACATAATGAACTGGCCAGAAACTACCAAGAAACTAAGTCTTTTCGATTCACAAACAATAGCCAGACACCAACGAGGAACGATCACATCCTCGCATGTAGAATGACTGCTTGCTCAACTAGAGAAAAAACTCCACGTCTTCTCAGCAAGGCAATCTCCTCTCAACTGCTTCTTAACCCCGACCCTTGAGACTTACTCAAGTATATTCCCTGAATGAGTTCCCCGTGCATTCTCAGACACATGAAAAGCATGCCAGTTATTCATGTAACTCGACTCAATTCACGCAGACTTTAGTGCGCCAGGTTTCACCCGACCAATTCTTGGTCTAAATGTTTACTCAGGCATCGTTGACACTTCATAAATTTACTGGCCAACATGCCCGTCTCAATTCAGATTCGAGGCACAACACCCACTACTTTTCTGATTTTGGCGCCACAGCTATAGCTATGATATAATATAATAAACAAAAATAACTGCAGACCATTCCTTTGTAATCAAATATCAAATAAAATAAAAACTAAACTTACACAGCAAAGCATACTGAGTTGTGTTAAGAACATAAATCACAGCACTTGGAAAATTCCTATAAGCGCTCCGCCCTCATCTTCAGCAGCCGATAAATTGTTCTAACTCTGATAGTACCGGCAGTCATTTGATTATATGTCTGCCGTGCCCCTCCTCTGAGTGCCGAGTGTTTGATCAGATCCCTTTAAGACTCCCTGCTGCATCAGTCTCTCCATACCATAATGATCTATTCAGCCTTCCACAATGTTCACCTGCTTACAAAAGGTGTTGCCCATATCTAGCTTGTCCTGCCTCAACTGACCACCCCAATGTTGCAGAACCAACCAATCTGTCCAGAGGATGATAACCAGCAAGCAAGGTCTGACAACAAACTGATGAAACCACTGAACTTACAAGTAGGTAATGGCTGAAGCTTGAACAGCTCATAAAACTGAGCCAAGTAGGAGACCATGGTCAGCTTGTCAGGGACATCATATTTGGCCATGTCCTCTCCAGTCAACACTGGGGGAATACCCAGCTCCTTCTCTGCAATATTGAATGCCTGTTGAAAGATATCATTTCGTTAATGGCATGCCTACAGAAACCTTCAGATGTGAATGCTGTGAAATAAGCAGTATTTCACTCAATGTTCTGAAGCAATATGGAGAGCCACAACAGGAGGTCAGGATCACCCACCAGTGAGTTTAAATTTTTTGCTTAAAGCTGAAAACTACAGTCTACTTTGTTCTTTTTATGTTTGAAAGTATTCTTCTTCTACTTTGTCTTCTCCACTCTGCCTTTTATCTCTCACTGGAGCACAGGCTCTTCATAAACTTTTAGTCTTGTTCCAGAGCCTGAGTTTTGCATGCACACATGTTTTACAGATCTGGCTTATATGTATGCAGAATTCTAGTTCTTAAACTTTCAGACTTCAAAGAAAACATACCTAATTAATTTACTTTTATGACATGCTTGTTGGGGGCAGCAGGTCTATTCCAACGCCCCCCCCCCCCCCCATCACCACCACAAACAGGTCATGGAACCCATATGGGGATAATTTCTGCTAACTTCTGTGGTGCTGTAAAGAAGGTCTTTGATGTTTTCATTTGGTTATACTATACATCTTTCTTTGCAGGCCATATATGTATTAATTTTATCCGCTCTTTCACTTCTTTATAAACATCTCAGCATTTTTCATGGGCTCTGATTTTAGATATCTGGTTTTGCTATTGTTTAAACCTGTTATTTTGTTCTTCTGTTTCTTCTATTTCTGAAATGTTTTTTACTTCAACACGTGCACTGACTTTTTCAATTCATATAAAACTTGAACCCTTCACATGCCAATTCTGAAGAGCTTCATAGTAGAAGAAACTCTTTTCATTTGTTTGACGTATTTATTTTCTTCACTGACTTGTTCTTGGTTGAATTTTGCAACTAAAGTTTTGTATGTGATGTGTTAGCCTGTTGCATTCAACAACAACCCCCCCCCCCCAGTTACCGTTACTCACCATGTGCATGGCTCTTAATCTCCCTTAGTACTTGCTGCTTCTCATAATGGTTGTGATAAGTTGTTTTTAAACAAATTAATTATATGAATATTTAATCTTGTAGATGTGTTTTTTTTTAAAACAGTATTTTGCAGCCAGCTTTTCCACACAGGAATTGCAGAAACAATATAGTTTGTCAGGGGAACTATGACATTTAAAAAAAAAAAACAAAGACATGAAAACCACTATAATAAAATAACAAATAATATCCCTAATCTACTTTCATAAACTGCTATCAACTGTTAGTGATTGAAGTAGAAATGGGACACTTGAAGTAGTAGAAAAATAATTTTATAAGCAGTAAACTACTAGTGAATGAAGGAGAAACAAACTAGATGTATAGAACAATAAAGCTGACATTAAACACGTTTGCATGTTATCTCTATATCATCTTCTGTGATACATTTTAAACTGAAACAAGGTAACACAAACACATTTCAGACACCATCTTACCATCTGGTTGTTTGCTGAAACATCACATTCCATCAACATTGTGTTGTTGCTGAAAGTGAGATTACATATGGTAGTTTATAACAAACATACACTGGATCTATTAATGTTACTATGTTAAGTGTAGGAATAATTTTGGGCGAGTACAAATATTAAATAGGGTTTGTAGCCAAATTCACCTATCATTTTCAAAGCTTTTCAAGGGCCTTTTCAAGGTATTCTTATTTTCAAGATGTGTCAGGGTTTTTATAAAATAAATATATTACGCAATAAATCTCCGTCAGCTGGTGCTGGAAAAAGAATTCCTCTGTGGCAGCTATAGTAAATTTTAACGAATGGCTGTCAACTGCTGGCAGTTGGTAAATAAGGGCAATCAACTAAAGTTTCAAAGATGTGGTTTTACATACGAAAGCTGATAATTCCTTGCACATCAAAAACAAGATACATATAAAAGAATGAGGCAAGCGGATAAGATTTTGAGAAAAAAAAAAAAAAAACTGGAATATGTGACAACTGGAAATATTTTATTGAAAGCAGAGGACATCAAAAATAGAAGATTCATGAGTCTTTTGTCCTGGCCTGGAAGGGTGTTAGCAAGAACTGTTATATGCTGTTGGAGATTGTGAGGTATGGAAAAGCATGACTGCTAGCTCCAGTCTGGAATGATGATACTCAGAAATTAAAGTACAACAGAAATCATCAGCTTATGGCACTTTCTTACTTCAAGGAAGGTATTGCCACTGACAGCCTCATTCCCCCAGAACAGTTCACTACTGCACAAATGTAGGGTTGAAGTCAGATACATAAAAAAACACCCACTGTAACATGGACACATAATTAAATAATGCCTTAAGTATGAAGAACAGTGTCATAGCAGTTACTGTGCCTGTCTGCTAAGTGGTTCAAGTTCAATCTCAGCAAAGGCAATATTGTTTTTTTCCCCCCCTGATCAATACTGATTTGAGCCATTTAAAAATGAGTACCAGGAAATCTTCTAAGAAGGAAAAGCAACAAGGAAGGAAACTTTTTCCTCTTCTTGTGTGTTCACCTTTTAGAGTGTGGTTGGAATATCATTTACTTGCCATCTCAATCTTATGTCTTAAAATAGGTGACACTTGACACCTAAACAGAGTGACTGCTACAAGAGTGTACAGTTGCCTAGCTGTGAAGATGGACCACATGAGTGTAACATTTAACAATGTCAAACTCTAGCACATCTTACATGAGTTCAGGTCTGAATGAGTGAATAAGAGCACACAAGGCAAGACCACTGCGCCAGGAACTTGTGAAATCCACCACATGAACATCCCGGTACTTGCCGGTGTTGAGGACTCTCTGGCACCACCGCAAAAGGCTGTAGCTGTCTATGCTGCTCACATCTGCTGGTATCATAAAGGCGAAAAAACACAAAAACACATTACCTCTGTAGAAAAGGAAGTAAGTTACAAACAGACTACAGTGGTATAGAATGTTACTAAAAAAAAAACTAACTTACAGAAGGCACAGTATTTTGACAAGTCTATTGAAGCTGATCATAATAAAAGCAGTCAAGCTATATGTCACTGACAACTTTAATGTCTTTTTTTCTAAGTCCAAAATGACAGGATCAGCATCAATAAAAAGGATTAAGAAAACTGAGCTTTATAAATTCAACATTTAAAGGATCAGGGTGGGAGTAATAGATCCGTTAACTGCGTTTTAGATCCATTAGTTTTTAAAATCAGAATTAAAATATAAAAGATCAAAAAGATCTTCATAAATAAGTATACAAAGCATTCAGAATCAAGAAATCTTTAAATATAAACACAAAAAAGAATTGAAAATCAACATAAATTTATAAATAAGCACATAAAGGATTCAGGATAAAGCAAACTTAAATTTGAGGAAAAAAGGATTCAGATTCAATAGCATACCAAAACATTAATTCATCAGGCCAATCAGTCTGAAGTCTAGTGCTGAAATAATCTAATCAGATTCCTCCACAATTTGCTGTTCGCAGCAGCACTTAAGCTCATAATAAGCCTTAGCCTCGATGTCCTCACTTGTTTTTTGTCATGTAGCTATTCCTCGCCTGCTTCCACTCCATATTTATTGATGTTTGTTTCACCCAACAACTTTATTGCAGTTTCATATAGAGACATTTCTAAAATGATGTGGCTCAGATAAGAAAATGAGTACTTGTTCTATGGTCTTATTTACCATAAATAATTCATCTATATCAGAAACTTCAGCAAAATAAAAGTTTATACATTATGGAAGCAAACTAAACAACTAAACACAGAAAAATTAAAATGCAGTATCAAAAATAACAAAAATAATTACTATTTCGCATGACTAAAAATTCTTCCAACAAAACAAAAAACTATAATTTTTTAATAATCTACGATACAGGCCAAAGGTGCTAGAATGGATTCCATCCAGGATACCGAAAGGATTGCACAGGTAGAACAAAATGGAGGAACAGACATATAACTGCACAACAGGATAATGAGGAATACAAGTGAAGACTGCAAACTCACCAGTTCTTGGTCTCTTGGCTGGCACAGTGACAGCAAGATCCTCCTCCTCCAGCTCCTTGGTGTCAAAGACACCACCCTCATAGAGATGCCTCACTTGGCTTGGCTTGACCATCTTCTGATTCAAGTTTGGGTATCTGCAGGCCACATGGAAAAAGGAAGTTACATACAATATGTGACATCTGTCAACTCAGCAGACATGCATATAGGAACCAGACATCATCATATGAATAAGTGAACACACTTCATTTTCAAAGGGTCATACATTGAGAGGGCCAGTCTCAATTCAATGATCATCTTTCACACGGTAAGTGTATTTCATGTATTACACATTTTAGGTTTATATGGTTAAAAACAGAATACCAATACCAAGTGAATACACAGAAACACGGAATGATAAATACATGCATTCAAACATATGCACACATTCAAGGGCTCAGGGCAGGCAGTTGAACAGAGTAGATAGCAGTCAAAAGGCAGACTGTATGAGTGTATGGTGCAGATTTGGAGCAAAAAGTGGATAATCATTACAGGCAACCTTTAATGTGGAGACGACACTTGATAATGATATAAAATAGTCATGCCACTGGTAGATTGGTAAATGATTTCATGAATACGAGTTATCAGTAGGTCTCTCCGCGTATAGTTGACTGGTTGCTTTTACTCTCAAGGTTTCCATTTGAAATACTGACAGCCCTGTGATTACAACATCCCCTCTCACATGTAAATCCAAAAAAGAAAATCCCAGATACCTTGCTCGATCTCCTAGGAGATGGAAACCCAGGTGATGCGAAAAGTAAACTTGTAAAACCCTGTGCAGGTTAGGAATGAACTGACAGGCATAACATTATGTGATCATGTGATTTCCTTCTGCAACTGTATTCACGGTACTTTAAAGCAGATAACATGTTTTTTTTTTAAACATCTATTGCTGTGTGTATTTACTGCTGCAGCAGTGTAGGCTGGGAGGTCTTTGAGTCTGAGGATTTAAGGTAGCGTGGCTGGTGTTGTCGCCACAAACGGTGAGGTTATGATTTTATTTTTGCCCCTGACAGAAAAAAATCCCCTAGCCTTGCTAAGGATTTTAACCTGGGTCTCCCATAAAAGAGCCAGGTGTTCTTAACCATTCGGCCAGCTGTTCCTTACAGAGATAAATCATATATAAGTTGTGCCTAACAACTGTAGTAGGCACAAATCTCATAAGTACACACAACATAAAAGCTGACCATACAATTATTCTATAAAGCAACAACATACCTCGTGTTTGGGTCTAAGCTGAATAGATTATGGTTTTTATTGAGATAATTTGGTGTGGTCTGGGACAAGACTGTGTAGATGCTTTCCCTTTCAGCCAGCACCTGCAGTGGAGACTTTCCCATTGCCCAGTTACGGATCATCCAGGCAGCATCAAAGGCACTTAGGAAGCCACGTGCACAGCCAGACCCAGTGGGCCAAAATGGCTTTGGAGAAAAGTAAAAGATCCTCTAAATTGGATTTTGCATAAAGACTTCATTTATCTATAGAAATGTCAGAAAAATTCTATATATATATATATATATATATATATTAACCAAACAGGAATAAATGGATGTTGTGATAAATGTAACTTTCCTCTAAAGAATGTTGTAGCACCATTTTAATGAGGTTGGGACAACCACACCTGTGGTTGTCCTGATGCAGACAGGAAGCTAAGACCACCAGGTGAGTGAAGTAGCATGTTGTCATCTCACCAATACCAGGTTGTAGTCCAGTGTCTTTGTTTTCTGTATTTGTCTTGCACCTTATCTTTTTACAGATTTCAGCTACACCATTTATCAATCTCTTTCTTTCCTGGTTTTTCCCTCACAGCCCTCTAAAATGTTGTGCTGTAAAAAGTCTCACATGCCGTTTGGTCTGGGTGCATACTTACTAGATGACTAAACCATTTCATTCTGTGTCTGTCAGTATAATCCAGACATGGTCTTATTCCAACTTTCTCTCTAATGCTGGTATTTGTAACCTTGTCCCTTCTTGTGTGTGACAACAACAAAATAATACGCAACAAATATTGAATCATAGGACAGAGAGCCAGTGTATGTCTTTTATTGGAAGCAGCAAACTAATCCTAGCATTTGTTGGCCATCTGTGGTTTTACAGGCAGTTCTATGTTCAGTAGTTTGTTGCTGCTTTCTCAATGGTTCGATGTATATACTGCTGTTGGAAAAGCCTCTGCTAACAAATCATCTACGGCTAAGATTAGTTAAGAACTGACAAATGACATCATAACACTAGGATATTTCCCATAAGTGCTCCGGCTTTTATCTAGCCAGTGCCAGTGCAGAAAGAAACATGGTTCATAAGAATTATGAACCTCTTGAAACAAAAATAACAGGGGAAACACTGCAAAATAATAATAATAAAATTTAAGAGCAAGAAACCCCATATCTTTTTCATTAAAAAGCAATTAAATATCTGCTAAGCTTTATTTAGGAATACCTCTAACAAACTATCTCCGACAAGACCCATAAGAAGGTGATGACCATTCTTCAAGAGAAACCTGGAAGCATTTTCAGCTGCAAACATGGAGGTGAAATCAAACATGGCCACATCTGCTTGCCCATAATGGTTGACAGCATACTCCAGTGATGGAAGCTGATAATTGGTGGAGAAGTTAGCTGCCTCTCTGGCGAAGGCCATCAGTCTTTCCTGGTCCACATTGGCTCTGTCCAGCAGTGCTAATGTGTCTGAGTAATCCTGTCAACACAGTGAAGTAATGGGATAGAAAGCAATTAATTACATGTGACTGAAGTAACACCATGGGCATACACAAAATATCTGAGAGTGTGATAACACAGTCTTATGAAATTATGGAAACCGTATCCTACATATTTTTGCACCCAGGATTTCAATAATTTCATGTGTATATGAGTGCATGTGTATGTATGTGTGTGTGTGTGTGTGTGTGTGAGAGAGAGAGAGAGAGAGAGAGAGAGAGAGAGAGAGAGAGAGAGAAAAGAGAGAGAGAGAGAGAGAGAGAGAGAGAGAGAGAGAGAGAGAGAGAGAGAGAGAGAGAGAGAGAGAGAAGAGAGAGAGAGAGTGACAGACAGAAACAGGACAGGGTTTATATTTTTACCTTCATTTCTTTTCAAGGCGGTCATACCTAGTTATGCATGGAATTACACAAGGTTTACTTTCTAAAGAAAGTCTTTCTGTCTAAAGTGATTGAATCTATCTGTAGAAGCTTTTCTTTAATGCTTGCCGGACAGCAGCATTACATCCTACTCTACAAATGCCAACAGATAAGTGGAGCACAACATCATTAACAATTATAAGCCCTAAAATTTGATTTGAACCCAGTAACTTAAATCCTGGAGGCAAACACCATTACTCCCTACTATACCTTCTCTATCTGGCCACATATCAACATATTTGTATCTGTAAAATGAATATGTGCTTATAAAGCCTGTAGAGTCTATGCTTGTATACACATTATGCCTACAATATGCTTAAATAGTATGTGCTTGAATAGCCTATGATTGTATACTTGGTGTGTGTACCCACTGTCTATGTTTGTAGACTTAGCGTATGTATTTAGTCTGTGTTTGTATATTAAGTGAATGCATGTAAAGCTATGTACAATAAGTTGTGTACGGACAGATGTATAGTCTGTGCCTGTACATTAAATGTACACCTGTACAGTTATTTGTATATCGTATGTGCTTACAAACTAAGTGTACACCAGTAGAGTTATTTGTATATATTATGTGCTTACACACTAAGTGTACACCTGTATAGTTATTTGTATATATTATGTGCTTACACACTAAGTGTACACCTGTAGAGTTATTTGTATATATTATGTGCTTACACACTAAGTGTACACCTGTAGAGTTATTTGTATATCGTATGTGCTTACACACTAAGTGTACACCAGTAGAGTTATTTGTATATATTATGTGCTTACACACTAAGTGTACACCTGTAGAGTTATTTGTATATATTATGTGCTTACACACTAAGTGTACACCAGTAGAGTTATTTGTATATATTATGTGCTTACACACTAAGTGTACACCAGTAGAGTTATTTGTATATATTATGTGCTTACACACTAAGTGTACACCAGTAGAGTTATTTGTATATATTATGTGCTTACACACTAAGTGTACACCAGTAGAGTTATTTGTATATATTATGTGCTTACACACTAAGTGTACACCAGTAGAGTTATTTGTATATATTATGTGCTTACACACTAAGTGTACACCAGTAGAGTTATTTGTATATATTATGTGCTTACACACTAAGTGTACACCAGTAGAGTTATTTGTATATATTATGTGCTTACACACTAAGTGTACACCAGTAGAGTTATTTGTATATATTATGTGCTTACAAACTAAGTGTACACCTGTAGAGTTATTTGTATATATTATGTGCTTACACACTAAGTGTACACCTGTAGAGTTATTTGTATATATTATGTGCTTACACACTAAGTGTACACCTGTAGAGTTATTTGTATATATTATGTGCTTACACACTAAGTGTACACCTGTAGAGTTATTTGTATATATTATGTGCTTACACACTAAGTGTACACCAGTAGAGTTATTTGTATATATTATGTGCTTACAAACTAAGTGTACACCAGTAGAGTTATTTGTATATATTATGTGCTTACACACTAAGTGTACACCTGTAGAGTTATTTGTATATATTATGTGCTTACACACTAAGTGTACACCTGTACAGTTATCTGTATATAATCTGTACCTGTACACTAAGTGTACTGTAATTTGTAAAAACTCTGTTCATGTACAGTATGCCAGGCCCTGACCTCTTTCAAGACTCCTTTCTCCAGCAAACTGGCTTTCTTGGCAGTCATGACAAAGTAGTGGGTGTCATCCTTGTAGTATACAATGTTCTCTAGATCAATCCTGGTGCTTTCCTTCAGGTCCATGAAAAACTTCTGATTGAAAATGAAAGCCACCCCACTGATCTCCTGCACTCGTGCTTCAGCCTGACTGTTTCGGTTGATGAAATTTGCTGTGACTGCAATGGCCAGTTTTCCTCGAAATTCCTTGCGCCTGAAACCTAAAGAAAGAGCAATTAGAACATGGCATTACAAATCTCACATATGAAAAATGTGATTCTATCATACACATTCACCCTATAGTCAAAGCAAGAGTCCAAAGATATCCTTCGCTGATATTGTATTACCCTTTGATCCAAAGTGTTAGTCATACAACTTCGAAAAGATACATGGCCTCAAGAGCAAAGTGTGCAGAGCAAGCTATGAGGAACAATGAAGGACCTGCTACTGACATGCCAGTTCATAGAGGCAACCCACCTGTTGGTCTAATCTTAATCCGAACGCAAAGAAGAAGAAGATAATCTAAGGCTTCCAGTTTTTAAAAGGTGTGGGGGGTGGGGTGGGCACTGTGCTTGTATACTCTTGTAAGAAGAAGATACTCTAAGGTGATTTTATCTAAACAAATAACCGCAATTATCATTATTATTTTTGTATTTTTTCTTTTTTATAAGGAACTCTCTCAGTTCATGGAACAATAGTTGAATTATCAATTATTATTATTCTACAAAATAATGTTCATTCATACTTTAACACCTGGCTCATTCAAAGAAATTATATTTAAAAAAGCTAAACTTCAGATAACTGGAGAATGCTGCAATATTTCACACACACACACACATTAAAGTCAAATATTCCTAGCTTGGTACTGAGTTTATTTTCTTCTGTTGACTTCCAAAGATTTCCCATCCTGGTGCTATAAGCTTCTCCTCTTCATATTCCTATAGATATTTCTAGACCCCACCTGTGTGTCACTGCTGTTTAAATAAGAACATGGTTCTAAATCTTTTCATGTTCTCAGCTTCTTTGTCTATTCCCTGGAAATTAAAAAAATCTTGTAAACATCCATGTGTGTGTTTAATTTATGTTGCCACAACCAATAACAAACCCTGAAAGCCTGCAGTAAACATTAGCTTCCCTTAAACACTAACAAACCAACTCTACATAAACACCCCCCACCAACCAACATGTCAAAATGGAAGAGCAAAATAGCACAGGTGGGACTAGGTCACAATTAGAATGGCTTACACATTGTATTCAGAGATGCTTCAAAGTTTGCTAATGTTAACATTGTTAACACAACATATTCCACTAACAAAACAAAAAGGGACAAGGTTACGGGTACCAGAATTAGAGAGAAAGTTGGAATAAGACTGTGTCTGAATTACACAGACAGACAAAGAATGAAATGGACGACCATCTAGTGAGAATAAAGTCAGACCACACTGCATAAGAAATTTTTTACAGCAGAACGTCTGGCAGAAAGGCAAGAGGAAGACCAAGAATAATGAATAAATGTTGTAGCTGAAATCTGCCCGCATACAAGAAAAAAAGACAAAAATCCATCACCTAAGCTAACGGAGAAGTGCAATACACGAAATAAAGAAAACCACTACATTGGGCTACAGCCTAGTAACTGTGGGATGACAAAAGAAGATAAAGACATCATGAAGTGGGGTTATTAGTTCTCTTCTTCAGTACCATTAACTCTTTGTGTACCAGAAGGTTTTACTGGAAATGCCCATATGTATAAATAACCAAAGGGAAAAACTATGAGTGTTTTTCTTTGAAAAAACGCTAAATACAGAAGAAGCCAAACTTCTTGGCAACCCCCAGGGATCTCTGTAAAAACGGTACTCGTAAACTGAACGTCATCGCTGTGAATGAACCCATGACCTTCAGAACGCATGGCAAATGGCTTGACCACTTCGCCACAGAGACGGGGGAGGGGGGGCTAATTTGTGAAAAGAATAAACAATTCAAGGACAGTTCTTGTGCTACTGGTGCATTAGACATCTTGTGTTTTATTGTCCAATCAGCATTTGATGGATTATGAGGTCAAAATTCTGCCTGCCACTTTTAGCTAGCTGATATTTCCTGATACCGATTTAGACTGAGCTGATATGGCAGCCCAGAAGATTCAGGTTTAAAATCTGTCCTGATTTAGATTTAAACCAAAGACCTTTGGTTCAGCAGCTAAGTGTTCTGCCAATGTGCTACTATGGCTCCCAGCCTACACTTTAGTTTTGAAAACTACAACCTCTTTCTGCTGGGGACTGTATCTGAATAACTGCCCTTGGTACGCAAAAGCGTCTGTGCAGCTACTTCTTTCTCTCCCTCTAGGTCACCTAAACATTGTCTTATCCGCCTTTATTAGCCTCCAAACTTCTGTACTTCTACCTGCATATTTCTGTTATCCTTCACATCTGCCTTTTTTTTTTTAACCCCTTTTTTCAAAATTATTTTTAAACAGACATTATCTATACTTGATATTTTTGTATCCTTTACTCCCAATAATCTGTGCATCTGTTCTAATTCCTTTAACCTGTGGTCAGCAGTCTCACATACTCATTACATCAACTAACTATTGCAGGAGCAGGTACTTATTAGAGACAGTGACTATAAATTGTTATTTACTTTCTTTATCCTACATAATACTACTTTCTATGTTTATAATATGCAATCTCCTGAATTTAACATTTTACCGATCAGCTGACAGTGACCTGAATCTTCATAAGCATCTTCATTAAATGCACAGTTAAAACAGATATGATCAGCTGGATTTTCTGTCTGCCTGCTGAAGTTCCAACCTCACTGCAAAAGGATCATCACATAATAGCCCCGCTACTGTGCCAACAAAAACTACACAGAATGTTTATCACTGTCCCTTTGTGAAAAAATTGATAAAGACTGCAGTCTCGGCAAATCCAATAGCAAACACATGCATTAAATAGCTGACAGAAATACCAATACAAACAGAGACACTAGAAATGCACTTCATCATCGTGGAAGCAGCAGTTACAACAAATCATTTGCTGCACATGCAATTAATCACATAAGGAGCCATCGATTCTCTGGCAATAAATAGGCCACTTGCCATTTTTTCACAAAAAGCATTTAAAATTAAATCCACAACCCACAGTGCCGCATCATGCACTCAACTCAGTAGCTGGGCGATGGAACTAAATCTTTTCAGTCTACATATGGAGGAAAATGCAATGGCTAACTATCATTAGAAGCAAAAACTTGCCAGGACCAAAAACAGGAAACCTACCCATCCACCACAGTGACCGGAAGTCAATATACAAAAATATGCACCAACAAGTAGTAGTGAACAACAAATATACAGATTTTATTATGAAAACCAACATGGCAATCTCTCCAACAAAATCCCTAAAAGTCAAAACATTACTTTAAAAAGCTGACACCAGTGTAGGACAGAAGTAGGTTTGTTTCAGAGGTAAGAAATGAAAAAGGAGAAAGGCTGACAGAACAGATAAAAAAAATAAAAGGTAACCGAAAATGCCTAGTTTATACAGTGAACACTAACTTACCAGGAAGTGTGTTTCTTTTGCCATCAGCCCCGATCAAAACATCAAACTCATATTCAGAGAGTGCATGGTTGTCTGGGGTGACTTTGCACTTCCATCCAACACCTGAAATTTATGAAGATGAAGTTAAAATCAAAAGACATACTGAGCCAACATCTACTGTATCAAGTCTATATTCTGACTCATGTTCAATATGTTATGAGTATAAAAGAAGAGAATCTGCGAGAGAAAAATCTATCAACAGACTGGAATACGACAACAGTGGAAAAAGTATTGATTCCCTACAAGGCTCAGACTTTTGTGTTATGTCTGACCACCGTGGTTTTAATATCATAGTCACTTATAGTACAGAGATTTGTGTGTGTCTAGGTTTGTCTGTTATACATTTACAAAAACATGAGGAAGGGTACTGGTCACCTATCTCAATAACCTTTTCACATTATTTTTTTTAATCCTGTGGAAACCAAAGCCTTGAGCATGGGAATCCCCCCCCCCCCCCCCCCCCCACCACCACTAAAAAAATGTTTTTCACCCTAACCTCACCCCTCCTCCATAAATGCAATTTTTTTTTAGTAAATATAAAAATATCCCAGCCTCACAAACATTGTGCAGGTGCAAAAGGTAACATCACTAGCCAGGTTTCTTCTAAAAGAGCCAATGCAAGAATGCTGGTTATGATTATTAATGGATGGAAAGGTAACATCACTAGCCAGGTTTCTCCTAAACGAGCCAATGCAGGAATGCTGATTATGATTATTAATGGATGGAAATGCAGGGTTTACAGTGCCTCAGGGTTAAGCCAGTAATAATGCTTACTAAGACAAATGGTATAGTTTAAACATCAGCAGTAGCAGGATTATCTTCCATGACTAGTACTACTCCAGGATCTGTCCAATCTCATACAAAGGGAGCTGACAGGCTTGCAGATAATGGCTAATATAGAAAGCCTGACTGTTCTAATAATGTACAACTGATGATGTACATGACAGACTCCACTGAAGCTTGTGCTGCTGCTAGAGATCTTGAAGACTTATACAACAAGGTACCATGTGACTTCTTGATTGATCTGCTGCCTGAGCTCAGTTTCAGTCCAATCCTCCTCAACTGGATCTAGCCGGCTTTCTTTAGAGTGGAAGGTGGTGTTTAAATGTGGTAGAGTTAACCTCCTGGGCTACTAAATCCTGTTTGCTGAATTTAAGACATTAAGGAAGCTGTGTAGATTCATCTTCACTGGTGAAGAGGACCCTGAGACATCACCAGATCAAGAAAAGATAAGTGACCATGTGTAGTCCAAAGTCACAGCCATCTAAGACATTGTCCCAGAGGCTCTCGCCCTCTTATCTTATCCCCAGGGTGTGATGGTGACTTAGATGGTGTTTTTCTTTACAATGGATTATCTTTCTTTCAGAGATGTTGTTAAGTCTCTGTGTGTGTCCTCACTTTTATCAGCCACTAGAGCTCTAAATGTCTGTGTTATTGTGATGATACAATGATTCGTTTTATTAACATGAAGAAATTCTGAACTGTCTTTTCCTTTTGAGGTTTCTTTCAGTTTGATTTCGATCCTTAGTTAATTATTCAATCAGGACTCTTACATTATGTCTGACACGGAGCATCTTTCTATCCAGTCTGAGGAACTTCTACTAAAGTGGTGAGGTTGTCTGGCTAAGCTGTGCAACAGAGGATTTCTTGGAGTTAATCAGTGGTGCCAAATGCTTAGGTTAGCTCATCCCTGGAGTGGCATCAAATGGTTGTAGGAATCGTGAGATAACTGCATATACCAATACGAGCTATCTTCACCACAAAAGTGCAACTCCAGAGTATCTTTGTTCTGTTTTTTGGAAAGGAAGATTTACTCTGACACATAATGCTGCCCACTCAGGCTTCATATCAACCAGCACTTACATGCTGTGCACAATCAGGTGGCCCTAACTTCTACAGGAAAAAAAAGCAGACCCCCCCCCCCCCCTTTCCCGCTGTAAATAAGCAGCTAATTAGGGGTTTGTTGAAACTGGTTGTGGTTGGTGAAATGTACAGATATTGCAGCCTTGCTGTAAACCACAACACAACATGCCAACAACCCTTTCAAAGGCAAACACTGAAGACGAAGAATCACAATCTGGTTTTATTGCAACATGTGTCTCCACAGATGTAAAACTCCACTACCAGTCTTTCCACTCCTCTAATTTCCTGGCTTTTAGATGTTACTTTGGGGACGTACACAGAAAGATGTCACCCACTGCAATTATTGGTTAATTCCCCCCCCCCCCCCCCCCCCCCGATAAGCCACTTTAAAATGTCCACTTATTTCCTGATGTATTTTAGTTTCTCAACAACAACAAATGCTCAAGAGTAAATGTTCTCAAAGTTGACTAACCTGAACTTTGATCTTCTGGGGGTTCAATGAGTCCCTCAAATGTCACGTTTACATGAACCTCCACACCCAGGAGCAGGGCAACCTTTAACAAGATGCACTGTAACTGCCGAATACCTGCAGGAAGCAAACAAGTCAGTCATCGAGCAGAAATCTTGGCTAGATTACTGTAATTGAAGGGTCAGCTAATGTAAGGAAACGGGGAAAAGAAAATCTAGGAAGTTTCCCAGTGTGAATTATGAGGCTCTATTTTGGCGGTAAAAAAATAAACCCACTTTCTCCCTAACAAATGTCATTATTGGCGACTAATTAGGAGTGTTTTCTATGAAGTTAGAGTGCATCTGCCTGAGAGGCGAGGGAAGAACAGTCTGCATACAAATAAGTCAGATCTGTAAAACGGATGCGGGATGTGCATGCAAAACTCAAGTTGTGGAACAAGAGCAAAGACCAGCAGTGGATGAACAATCAGGACATTCCACAAGAGTTTACAGTGAAGAACAAAAAGACAATCTAGGAATGAAGAAGAGGGTCGAAATCTAAACTACACTAAGCAATTATGTATATATCCCAGGGCTCCTCACAGTATGAGTCATATACAAATAATGTATGTGTCTGAGTGCATTCATGTGTGTTGTATAACTCTCTCTCTCTCACACACACACTCTTTGGGAATCATTTTTTTTTTTATGTAATAAAAATAGTATTTGAGCCTATAAATTTTATAGCAAAGTGAGGGTTGTCATAAGAACATGTGAAACAAGTTGCGCTACATTTGAGAAGTCCAGCACTGGTCCATTATTCAAACTATGCTATTGGGTTCTTGTTTATCTGTACAGTATTTTTTAGTTATCTGCATGAAACAGCAGTAGTTTTCTCTTCTTTAAGTTTCAGACCTATACAACCCATGAATATCAGATTATAATTTTTACTTCTGTGTCTTCAACCCAAAACTATAAGTATAATGTTTTTAGTTTCATTATATCTAATTCATATTATTTGTATTTTATTTTTTATGGATTGAATTTTGTCATGACTTATTCTTTTGAAAAAGATTTTTCGGTTACACCCAATCTTAAGGTGTCATGCTATCAATATCATATTTGGAAAAATACATATTATTCATTTGTTGAATTAAGTTGAGTCAAGAATTGACATCACCAGCACTCAGGGCATTACCATGTGTGCTCAGTCCTCATCTTCAGCAGCCAGCGCAGAGTTCCAATACTGATGGCACCAGTCACAATCTGGTTACATGTCCGTTTTGCCTTTCCTCTGAGTGTAGTGAGCCGGCCAGACCCTCTGGTTACGCCCAGGTGCCTCATTCTCTCTAGGCCATAATAATATATATTATTCACTGAGTATACACTAATTCAGTCTAATTTATTATCTTGCTTCTCCCGGTTTTTTTTCTCCAACATAGCAAGATCCTCAACAAACTCACTGCAAACACTCCTTTGGTTTTACTATCTTGCAGTTCTTCCCATGTTATTTATCCATCTCTAATTCTCGTCTTCTCATGCTATTATGTCTCCCGTTCTTTCTTTAGCACTATGGATTCCAGAGAAAGGACTTTCTGTTATACTATTAACATATTTTATTGTTACGTATTCTATTCAGTGCCAGCATTTTAACTTCTCCTGGTGGGGAGCAGTTCTTGATTCACTAATTACTTACCTACTCAAAAAAAAAAAAAAATCATTTTTTTCACTGCCTTGATAAATGCCTTATTGGTGGTGGTTACTATCAGAATTTAATGACAGTTATTAAAAATAGCACACACACACACACAAACTATGAAGTGCAATGTTTGTCGCTCTCATTAGCTACATCTAAATTCTGTAGGCAGCTCATCTTCTTCTTCTGAGTGTTCATCAGCTGTAAACTGGCAGAAAGTTTTGACTGTTCCTTTACTCTACTTCAGGACTTTGGTTTTGTTCCAGAACTTAAGTTTTGTGTACATATCTATTTCACAGATTTGTATGCAGATTTTGGGTCCTCGCCTCCCAGGCAGATGCCCTACGACTATGAAGGAAACCATGACTACAAAGGAAACACATGACTACAAAGGAAACACATGACCACGAAGGAAACACATGACTACAAAGGAATCACATGACTACAAAGGAAACACATGACTACAAAGGAAACACATGACTACGAAGGAAACACATGACTACGAAGGAAACACATGACCACAAAGGAAACACATGACTACAAAGGAAACACATAACTACGAAGGAAACACATGACTACAAAGGAAACACATGACTACAAAGGAAACACACCTAATTAGTCATCTTTTACAACATGCCTGTTAGGGGGTCGTGGGTCCCACCCCCACCCCCCACCCCCAATATAATGGGGTCCTGGAATCCACAATGGTAGCTAGCTCTCTCACCTTCTGATTTTATTCTAAGTTACACTGTATTTTTCAGTCAAAAGAATGGGGTCACAATCAAGGTTAACCTGTTACAATCAACTTACTTATATGATCTATAGCACCAGCACAGAACTTTCCAAAGAATTTTTTTGCACCAAGATTTCTGAGGTCAGTGATAAGGTAGGGCCAGAGGTGCAGGACGTTGTTACGAGAAAACCTATCTCTTTTCTCAACAATTACAGTCTTGGCTCCTAGAAGAGCACACTCAATAGCTGTTCGCAGACCACAAGGACCAGATCCTATAATAAGAACCTGTGGGAAGGAAAACAACAGTAACATTTCAGGATACCACAATCTACACGTGAAATAAATTTAAGTGATTAGAAATTCTTCCTTTTCTTTACGTTCACTGGCTGCAAACTCCGGTGGAAAGTTCTGGTTGTTCGTCCACTTCTGGACTTAAGTCTTGTTCCAGAACTTAGGTTTTGCATGCATATCCATTTTACAGATTTGATTTATTTGCAGACTGTTGGTTCCATGCCTCTCAGGCAGATGCACTTCGACTTAAAAGAAACCTTAATTAATCTACTCTTGTGACATACCTGTCAGGGAGGCAGCAGGTCTATTTTTTGTCCCCTAACAATGAGACACCAGAACCCAGATAGGGATGATTATAAATTAATTGCAGATGTTTACTTCAACATTTTTGCTCTCTCAGAACTAGAGGTCGACCCCAGAACTTATATAGGGTCAATTATTAATTAACTGTAGACGTGTAATGAAACATTTTTACTTTCATAGCCCTGCAGGCCGCACCCTGCTGGTGTACCCGTTTTGGACGCCCCAATTATAACTCCTTTGGAGGTTAACAGGGTATCTGGGATTTGTCCTGATGGCTTGCCATCAGAAACAATGTTTGTGATATCTCAGGGTGGTCAAATGTCAGGTGGCAGCCCAGAGTTAAGATAATGGAAGGAAGGAATGTAGATGGTGTAATCTACAATCACTTCATCCTTATCATCAAGTGTCTTACCTACAGGTATGGGTAATCATGCTTCTCCTCCTCCTCCTGCCAGTTCCAGCTGTATGTGTTGACTGTTAAAGCTTATACTTTTCACAGCATTTACACACACAAAATTCCAGAATCTTCTCACATCATCTTCCTTATTTTTCTTTCCATAAATCTTCCGTGTTGTTACATCATTTCCAGTTTTTTTCTTCTGCTCAGTTTTTTTTTTTAAACTGTCTGCATTTACTTTCACTGACAGTTTTACACAACATGCAGGGCTAGATCTTTCTTTAAATGTCTGAATGCCAAGTTGAGCTGAGTCAAGAATAAACACAGCATTTGGGGTATTCCCATATGCACTGTGTCCCCCATCTTCAGCAGCCAGCACAGATTTCCAATACTAATTGTACTGGTCACAGTCTGGTTATATGTTCGTCTTGCCTTTCTTCTGAGTGTAGTGTGCCAGCCAGACCCTGTGGTCACATCCAGGTACATCATTCTCTCCAGGCCATAATAATCCAGTTTCTCTTCTGACTGGTACTTGTTACCAAAAGGTCTTGACCACATCTGCCTTGTCATACATCAATTCACAATCCAGTGGTGCAGATCTGGCCAATCTGCCTGTTCATTCTCCACCACGCCGGCATGGCCTGGAGAAAAGATCCAAAGTATGCTTACTACCCGTGACCTTCCAAGTCAAGCTTGCCATTCTGCTTGAAGCATCCCTGTCTTCACCTTTCTCCGCATGCTTTCAGAGTCTGTTACAATTACAACATGTGTGTTCATCTTCTTTTCTAGCCACCAGAACGCTGCAGTAACCACCTCCCCCTACATTCTCATGCTAGATTTAGCGGTATCATATGCTAGGCAGTCCTGCACTAAAGTTTTTCGATTGGCTGTCGCTACAAATCACCAGGCACTTCTCTTCCCTCTCAACACAGAACCATCTGTATAGACAATCAGATCATCTGAACGAGAACTGTCATTAGTCAACTGTTCTTCAAACGCCGTACCCTCCACTGGCCACTTTTTGCACTCCCAGCCTAATGTGATCATGACCCCACATTGGTAAGACTGTTCCTCTGGTACTCTAACCCACTCTCCTCGTCCAATGTTCTCCAGCAAGCATACTTGTCTTATTGTGTCTTCTGTTTGAGTCATCCATGATTTTCAACTTTACAGCCTCTTTCTCTTAACTGCATCCAAAGCTTCATACATAGCTCTTTGTCTGCAGCTACTCTGAGGTATGATTTAGCCTGCAGCATTTTCAGCCTATCTGCAATAGTCGGTAATACAAGGATAAATCGCATGCACATAACCCGGGTGTCTCTTGTACAGTTCAGGATCACCCACATAGCTTTATTCTGTATGCGCTCCAGTTTCACTAGCTGACTCTTTGAGACAGTGAGCAACCCCAGTCAACAAACAATCACTGAGATGATTAGGTGCTGGCATAGGGTGAACAGCATTCTCTGCTCTATGTCCTCTACTGTCATAATCTTTAGTGTATTAAGACCTTTTTGGACCCTTGTCATAACCTCTTTTACTGAAATTTATTTTGAGGCTTGGAACATCAGGTCTAACAATTCCGTTGTCCAAAAAACACCACAGGATGGTTGTTTTTTCTGGGTTGATTACAACACTCATCTCTGTACACCAGTAGATCACCTTTACTATGGTCACCTGGAACAGTTGCACTATTTTATTCCGATCTATCCCCTGCCTATATGCGAGAACATCATCTGCAAACGTCAATATTCTGCCAACTCCAGGTGTTTTCCAGGTCCACAATCTTGCTCGTAAAAAACTAGTGAAATTGCAGATCCCTGTGGTAATCCCATGCGGAGAGCTACCCGACAAGAATTCTAATTTTCATCTTACCATTTAGGTTAGTTGTTATGCTCTACCTGCAATCCTGTCAGAATGAAGTTGATCACCTATTCTAGGTCAACGCAGAAGCCCCATAAATCAGTATAAATCTATCAGGTCGGCAGTCCTAAAGGTATGATTACATTAGCAATCATGGTGCAACAGCCACTGAAGGTGTTTAAAGCTAAAACAACCAACCCTGATGTAAGGAAAATAAACAGTCAGCAGATTACTGAGAAATTATGTAGAAGCTACAGAGATGTGGTTTTATAGAGGAATGATGAGAAGACCATGGATAGATCAGTTTAATGAAGATGTCATGAAAGAAATTAACTCGCACAGGGAATTATATGAATAAGAAGAAGTTTTCTGACACAAAGTGCACAAACACATAGTCACCAATAATTTATACCTTATCTTAACATCACAAGATTGAAGGAACAAGATGAGAAGAGGATACTTTACATTTTCTGGGGACATGAAAATACACTTGATGCAAGATCACAACAGCTAGGTCGGAAAATCAATAAAGGATTGACAGGGATAATGAGAATGTGGTTTATCTTAGTCGTATCCCACTCCAAGATGTGGAGTCTTATACCTATTTGGGCATTAAAACTAATACTAAATTTAGGGTTTTTAATTCTGATGTCACATCAATTCTTTTGTATGGAGCGCAAACATGGAGAACTAGGGAATTTACTTTTAAAAAAAACTACAAACATTCACTAAGTGGTGCCTGCATAGAATAGAGGGAATTAAATGGTCTGACAGAATAACTAATGTAGAGCTTTGTAAGAGAATTAAACAAGTTCCAGTGGACCAAGCGGCAAAGAAAGGAAGCTTGCGTTGGATAGGACACAAGCTGAGAAAACCTGAGAACAATTCAACTAAAATGTCTTTGCACTGGACCCCACAGGGACATAGAAATAAAAGACCAAAAAACACATGAAGAAGGGAGCTAGAGAGTTAAGTTAAAAAAGATGGGGAGGACACAGGAAGAGCTGCATGCGAAAGCCAAGTATAGAACAACTTGGCGTGAGTTGGTTAAGGGCCTGTGCTCTATTGGGGGCTGGAAGGCAGAAAAAAAAGTTTCCTACATAAAGTTCACAAACATATACTCTCCAATAGTTTATACTTCACCTTATCATCACAGGATAAGAAAAGGAAACTTTACATTCTCTGGGGACAAAACTGGAATATGTCAATACAACGGGAATGTTTGAGGGCAAACCAAGAGAGAGGATACTGGATAGTCTGGCAGGTCAAAAACTGACAGCACATGAAACAGAAGACATAATGACCAAAATCACACAAAATAGACTAAAATGAATTCACATTTAAAAAAAAAGATCTCAGAATTTAAATAAAAAGCCTTTAACCAGTGTGCCTTTTCTCTCATCTCCCAAATGAAAAATGTAAGTGAAACTCAAAACATGAAACATAATTCTATTAATAGCCCCTGTCTGTATACTGTAAAAAAATGCATACTCACTCTTATATTTGAACATGCTTGTCCCTGCTTGTAGTCTCTGTGTGATGCTCTTTTATCCAACTTTGCCCATAAGTTTTGAGCCTTCCATGATCCTTTCAACTTGGACTTGAGCTGCTCATAGAACTGAGTGTGGCTTGCGTGCCGCAGCCCCGTCAAGTCCAACAGCTGGTTAAAGCTGGTCAGAATGGCCTTGCAAGTGACTGCAGTGACAAACTGATCGAATACATGCTCACAGGAGGCGCTCAGGTCTGCTTCTGCATGCCCATTCATGTCTCACGGGGGCACACTCACCTGCCAAATTACAAATTCAATGACTGTTTACAATATGACTGGATTTTTAAAAAAACAATGATTGGAAAGGAAAAAATATGAATGGACAATAGACAATATGACTTGAACAATATGACCAGACAGAAAAGGAAACATGCCAGATATGAAATACTTCATGCATTTTGTATTTGGTGAGTTATTTTTTCCATGCGAAACATACAAGAAATACTTCATGCATCCTGTATTTGGTGAGTAATCTTTTCCATAACAAAACATACCTTTATCAACAATAATACTGAACAGCGGGTGGTCCAGACTGAAACCTACATAAGCAGCAGGATTTTTCCTACCAGCAGTCGGCATCTGCGGCTTAGAGGTTACAAACATGGTCTGTAATTCTACAATGCATTCTTATTCAATATCAGACTGCTTTATGCAGATTTTAACCAATGGTATGCAGAGCCAACCATTTAGCAAGTAATGGCAAACTAGTGAACATAAAACTGCCTAGTAAAACAATAAATGTTGGGGTCGGCTTGCAGCATCTTGTGAAGGATACACAACTAACTTTAACAGCTCTGGCATCAACCAAGCCTCAAGAAAATGTTTTCTTGATAGTTTCCATAATTTTCTGGAAACTGTCTGAGAAAGAGTGGTGATGAGAAAGGG